ATGGAGGTGAAGGGCTGTGATAGACACACACAGCAGTGCCATGTAAAAATCTAAGAGCTGCAGCAGGCATAGCAGGAGGCAAGGGAGGCAAATATTAGCCTCTGGTGCAGAGTTGCAGACCTGCCACTCTACAAGGAGGAGGCTGAGGTCAGGGTGGTGGTGAATAGCCTTCTCCTCCCCACCTTGAGCTCCTCTTATAGCTTTGTGTTCATAATGCACAGCACAATACTAAAGAGCAGTAAAGGCTCTATGCTTTCTGACACAGATGGCTGGCTCGCAGGTTACCAGGACAGTTGAAAAGCAGCTGGAAACCTAGCAGGATGCCCATGGAATGCTGAGATTGAGAAACCTGCATCATGAGATGCTGTGCCTGCCCCATGGGGACTGCAAACCCTTCCCAAATCAGCCTGCGGCCAGTTGCACAGTGGAATAGCTACCCACAGTGCACTGCTCTCTGTGTCGATGCAAGAGTAGCTACTGTGGATGCGCTCCGCCAACACCAGGAGCATAGTGGGGACATGGAACTGCAGTTTAATTACAGCTGTGGTTGGATGTCAAAGTAACTTAATGACAGGTTTCAGAGTAGCAGCCGTGATAGTCTGTAGCTCACGAAAGCTTATGCTCAAATAAATTGGTTAGTCTCTAAGGTGCCACAAGTCCTCCTTTTCTTTTTGCGAATACAGACTAACACGGCTGCTACTCTGAAACCTGTCATTATGCAAGGCACTGCATTTAGCCGTATGGAGTGGAAATCTATCAACTTCACGAGAAAACTCGTACAGATACAGACAGACATCATCTTCCTTTCCAATGCAAACAGATGGACATTGTACCAAAAGGACTGAAGGCAAAGGAATGCAGCTGATGAAGTGAGCTGTAGCTCACGAAAGCTTATGCTCAAATAAATTGGTTAGTCTCTAAGGTGCTACAAGTACTCCTTTTCTTTTAACGTATCTTAAGTCGACTTAACTCTGTACTGTAGACATAGCCTTAGTCTCATCATTTCTAATTATAACCAGATTTGTATGAGCCAAAATAATTTTTCCCCCTTGTTATTTACATTCTCCAGCTACTTGTAGACTTGTGTACACCCCTTCTAACCTTTCCTCATCAGTCATTTCCTCAACAGTCATTTTTGTTCTTCTTTTCTGAACTTTCTCTACTCTTTCTGGCAGTGAAGAGGCCAGAAGTGAGCACATTAATTCACTCTCACTGAAGCACTATAATGAGGGAGCATGGCATTCTGTTCCTTTGTCGCTATACCTCGAAACAGAGTGCCCCAAAGCCCTTTTTACTGACATCTTGCATAGCAACCTCATGTCTATTTGCCGTCCACTAGGGTTCCCAAATATCTTTCAGAATTGCTGTTTTCTCACTTCTTCCTTCTACCAATTCTTTGTGGCTCACATTTTTCCTCATATTTTATTTCCTTCTTATTTCTAATGTAAGGCACTTGGTATCACTGCTCTGTCCTCGTTAATGCTGGCAATTCCATGACATTTTGTAGCACCATTTATATTATGATAGGACCTAGAGGTCCAATCAAGCTCCCATCATGCTAAGTGCTGTATCACTCAGCAAAGGAAGTCCCTCACTCAGAGAGCTTACCATTTAATTAAGACAATACCCAAAAATGGATATATACATCTGAAGGAATAGGGAGGAGGATAATAAGAACGTGCATTTACACAGGCCAGGTAAGTGTACAGCTTGAGGGTTCTGCATAAGCGTAGAGAAAAGAAGTAGTAAAAAACCTCATCTCATAGACTAGTGTGTGACCAGTTAAAATTACACTCTAAAAAGGGCATTGTGAGGATTGATGTTAACTTACTCAATAATTCTATACTAAATTTATGTAGTTTAAAGGTTATGCAGAAAGGGGTTACAGGCAGCACTGAAAATTCAGACTAGTATCTGAAAAGACTTTTTAGGCCTCACCAGAAGTATGTCCAGTTAGAACTTAGTTGACAATTCTGCTGATGACGAAACTAGAGCAGAATCCAGCTCCCACAGAAAAGTTGGAACTGCCTGACTAAAGGAGGTGAACATTTTTTTGCCAAGTAAGCAAGCAACTGTGACTGAACACGTACAGGAAGCAGATCGGTTGAACAAATCTAATATTTACAGTCACTCTTTTGTTATTACTCATTTTGAGGAATTTCACAATTCCCAACCCCACCTATTGCGTTTCTGTATGTATAAAGCTGCAGTGCTTAAGACCAGATACTGTCTATGAGCCAAGATATGCTTCCCATGCTATCTTAGGTAGACACCATGGGTCTATGTCTATACTGCAAGTGAAGGTGTGACTATAGCATGAGTAGGCATACTCATGCCACCTTAAATCTAGCTAGCGTGGATAACAAGAATAGTGTACATGTGGTGACATGGGCTTCAGCAGAAGCTAGTGTCCAAGTATGTACCCAGGGTCCACAGCAGAGGTATGGCTCAGGTTGTTAGCCCTTGCTGAGCCCATGCCACCACATCTACACTGCTACTGTTACCCAGGCTAACAGTGGTACGCCAACCTTTGCTACAATCACACCTTCACTTGCAGTGTAGACACACAGGCGAGTGCTTCTCTGCTCCTGGAATGACAGTAATCACTTCTGAAACGTCTCCCCTGCTGGAAAGGCATCTTTATATAGTCTCTTAAAGCAACTTTATCAGAGAGAGTTTAGCGCAATTCTTCACCCAAAATGTTTAGACTGTCCCGTGCTAATTTTATAAGCAAAAGAGATAAGATTCTCGGTTGGCTTTGTGGATAATTCATTTCAGTCCCCAACTCCCATCTTCATCTTCCCAATAATTAAACCAAATCAGCAGGGCTCAGAGTGACTAGGAGCGCTGTTGGCTCTGCAACAGATGGAGAAGAAACAAAGACAACAAGTATGTGGTTGCTGGACCTCTGCCATGGCTTTATCAACAAAAACATGCACTCATTTTATTTACGAGGAAATATGTTTTATAACGGACAAGTGTTGTTTGGAAAACTTCTTAGGAGGAACTGCGCAGTGCTGGAAATCTAATTTTAAACTTTCTTTAGACAAGGCTTTCCTAAAAACACAGACAACCAATAAACTTTTTGACTATAGTTAGCATTCATGAGTTTAGTGAGAACATGAACCCAACAATAAAGCCAGAGAAGCTAAACAGCTGCAGTGCCAATATAGCACTTGTTGGTTCAGATATAGAACAAGAGCAACCTTAACTGGTTTAAAGAGTCATTGTATTTTAACAATGGTGCACTACTCTTCCTAGCACAGGGACATGTTATGCACATAGATGCTATAACAAAGCACAATGCAATATCTATGCAATATAGAGAAGCAAATGTCATACAAAGTGGTCCTTGTGTTTATATTAGCAGTGGTAACCTACCTACTATTAGTGTCATTTAAACAATGATACTTCCTGTAAAAAAGCAAGTTATGTCAACAATGAACATATACAATGGGTCCAATTCTGTTCCCATACATAGGCTGGTGTAAGCCTGGAGTAATGCCACCTAAATGGGCGGAGTGTCAAGAGCTCACACAGACACACGCATGCTAGCTCTTATTGAGTTAGCGTGCTAAAAATAGCGTAGGCAGGAAAGCACGGGCAGTGGCGAGGGGCAGCAGAGGCTAGCTGCCCCAAGTACAAACCAGCCTGGACCCCAAGCGTACGTACTCGAGTGGCTAGCCATGCCCCGGGCTCCCCACTGCCTGTGCTACCACAGCCACACGACTATTTTTAATACGCTAGCTCAATCAGAGCTGGCGCAAGTATGTCTGCACAAGCTGCAGATCAAACCCATAGCTCCAAATGCAGCACACCCTAAAACTGCTTGCAGGTACCAGTGTCTGTAGATAGGTAGAAACCATCCTGCATCTTTTGTTGCTTTCACAGATTCAAACAATTACTTTCACAAGAATGACAAGTGGGCGTGGGGGGGGAATACTTACAGTGGGCCTGGTGTACAGTTTAATATAAATTTGCCTAATCATTGGACTTATATGCCTATACAGAAGTGGTTTTAAGTATGAACAAATAAAATCCCTTTTGACCTTAAATGAATATAGATACAAAAAAGCCCTGCTCACTTTATAGGGGAAAAAAGTGCACTCCTTTTACAGTGAGACTTACACTGCTGTGATCAGAAACACAACAAATGGGGGAGCAGACGAGAAAAAACAGGAAAAGCAGATTTATAAGGACACATTTACACTTGGAAATGTACTGAAATAGCTACTCCAGAAAGACAATAACACACAGGGCCTTACACCAAAATAATTATTTTGGAATAGCTATTTCAGTAAGTTTCCCAGTGCAGACAATCCCTATCGAACTTCTGCATGCACTGCTCATTCTGAAGACTGACCTCAGCAAGTCACAATTCAGTCAGTCAGTCAGCACTCAGGGTTCCATGTCGCTGGTTCAATAAGAGTAAGATTTACCATATCCAGGTCAGTTTATTGGTCCATCAAGTTCTACATCCTTCCTCCAGCAGGGACCAATACCTTGTGCTTCAGAGGAAAAGCAAAGCCCACAATGCATCTGGTCAACTGTGCAATGTTGTACATGGATGGAAGCCATCTCCCCCTGGCCAGATGCAGGAGTCAGCTTATACTTTGAATCACCAGAGGCTTTGGCTTCTGCAGGATCTTAAAATCTGACCAGTATCTGCAATGGGATGCAGAGTCTTTATACAAATTTTTAAAAAGTGCAAAACAAAAAGGGACAAAGAAATCTCACTAGTCCCACAATTTAAAATTTATAAAATAAACATGATTCTCCAGAATGTGTTATAATGGATAACCATACTTCTTAAGTACCATTCTAACTTTAGTCATGCACTTCACAACTGACTTTCAGCTTGCAGTTATCCTGTTTAACCCATGTCCTGCAGGGGGCAATTATTTCTGAGCACATCATCAGTAATAAGATGATTCCTCAACTAGTTACATCTGGGTCTCGTTGCCATTAAAACAATATAGAACATTTAAAAAATTATTTACTGTGACATAAGCATCAAGAGTTTCATGGCTTGAACTGCTACTTCATGGTCCTTGTCCAGAGTCATGGACACAATTCGATCCTAATGGATGTAAAACGACAATAAAAAGATGTAACACTTTTTGTTCTGGACAAATATTTATTTTGCTACAGTTAGATCATCTCCACTAGTAACAAACAGGCTTATTAGTATTGCAATGACTATTTCCTAAGAGACATAAGACAATTTGCTTACCACCAAGTTGTTCCATCATTATGTTACGTTTTTATTTGAGTTACTTGACCAATAAGAAATTTGTGTAGATGCAAGTGTGTCTCCACAAGAAACTGACTGCAGCTCACAAATTAAGAATGATTGGCCACTTGTTTGTAAATGAAGAACAATTAGTAACAATATGCTAAATCAGGATAAATTCTAAGCTACAATGTTACATAAATCATTTCTCTACTCAAATGTGAAAAAATTCTGGAAGCCATAACCCTGCTAAAAAGGTAAGTACATTTTGGATCACGTGGCTGTTTAACAACGCACAGCAATACTACACAGATTAGGGCAGAAGTACAGAGGGCTGCTGTAAAACTGTTTAAAATATGGATTGAATTTAGATAGGCAGAGTTTATTTACTCAGATTGAAACTTGGCTAAAACATGAGAATTATGAGCCTCCTCTTTCAGAAAGTGCCATGGGATTTTCAGTGACTACGAAGAGCCAAGTCCTTGGTTTTACATGACATCCAAAAGACTGTACCTGCAGGCCTAGCAGAAGAGTATGCACTAGCTGGGGCACTGGTTCAGTCCTCCGAAGGAAGAGTGCCACCTATGGAGTCATGATACCACTTCCTGCAGCACCTTGGGTTTTCTTATCCAAGTACTGACAAGGCTAGCTAGTGACAGCTGATGAAATCACAACCAAAGGTAACATTAAAAAGTAGAGTGCTGACTGCCTGAACGAGCCTGTACGTGGCAACTTGATCAGTGCAGTGTCCTAGGGACACAATGGCCTCTGCTCAGCTCACCCAACAGATGCTCAAAAGCTATCCATTTACTGCCTAGCATTTGACTTGTTCAGACTGGGGATGGGAAATCTTTCTGCAAGGATCACAGAGTCATGCTGGATAAGCACAGAATCATACATTCCAATAGCAATCTATGCAGAATCACCCAATCCAACATCTAACATACAAACTCAGTTTTGAGGGGGATAAAGGAACACAGGGGACTTTGGGATGCCAAATACTCCTTGCCAAAAGAATCCTGGCCAAGAGGCTGGACATGGCTGTCTGCAGAGCCTGCCAACCCCACTTTGTTCATTGGCCAAAGCAAAACCAGAATGTTCTCATGAATGAAGAGCAACATCCCACAAACTCCCCCACCCAACAATCCTAGCCCGTCTAAGGGACTGACAGCCAACTCTGCTCAAAATATCAGATCCTGTGTAGCTAGCCAAACCGGATTTTAAAAATAGAAAATGGTATTTCCATTTACCTTGAATCTGCTAGTAAAGAGATCCATTTTGGATACCAGCTCTTTTCTGTTATAAATTCCTTGCAGTCCCAGCAGACACTTCAACCGCACTTCAGGTTGCTGTTAGACAAAGAAGAATCTGATAAGTGACAAATCTTTGGCATTGATGTTATTTACTGATGATTTGGTGGTCATCCTATGGGAGTGGGAGCCCTATAAACGCCTACGATGGACAAAGCAAAAACTGCCTCAATCTCCATTACCAGACAGATCTATAGTTATGTCACATATGCCTAATAGCATACAATGGGCCAAACTGAGAGGTGATCTCTAAGCTCATGTTACACTCCCATAGAAATTATAACTAATTACCAATGGGAGTGCAAGGAGTCCACGATCATATAATTCCATGCCCAGGGTGTCAGAAGGTGAAAGTTGGGGGTGGTCTACTTATATCTTTCTGCTATTTGTTTTTCTTGCAACACTTTCCTCAGATATGAGTTAAACCAACTTAGAGTCTCTTACAGTCCCAAGACTAAGTGGGCCAAACTCAGAGATAAAATGTATGTATGTTATACAATAATAAACTAGTTTAAGTCAGTATGACGGAGTTCGCGTTGACGCTGGGGCACCCAGTGAAGGTTTTATGTTACACCATCTAGACTCCCTCATGCCAAGTCTACACTGATAAATTACTTCAGATAAAAACACTCAGAGTAGCCAAGAGCTGTCCTGTTTAACACATCACATCGACTGGCTGTGACTAATCCTAGAATCCCCTCTATTCCCTCCTAGGGTTATCCACAACCTGCTGACATGTTGATAAATACAACAGTCCTTACCTACCCTGAGTGCTAAGACATGTCTGAGCTCATGTTGGTTAAAATATGTTCTAGCATGATACAATTTTCCAGTGTAGACAAGTCCTCAGGTTCCCTTCTGTGTTTGGCTAACAAATATAGTTGGTTTATACCAAAAATATTTATGAGTTTTATAAAGATTTACCTCATTTGTTTCTCTGTAAGCCAATACTACTGTTCAAAATGGTTCTATAAAAAGAATGTCCTTTTCCTAGACTTTGAAATGCCTCAAGTGTAATCCTGCAACTTTAAAAGGTCAAAACCTTTAAGAATATTAAAAGACAGTCATTCTAGGGCTCTAAAGCAGAACTCACTGAGCTCTGCTGAACTCTCATGGCAAAGGGTTTCTGCAGAGCCCCTGCAACAAATTACAGCCTTGTATTCACTATTATCTCCTTCATACTAGATTTATTTTTTTTCATTTCTCCCTCTAACATGGCAGGAAAATAAAAGAAACCCAAGCAGTGCAGATCTCCTACAAGGACGCTATCCGTTACTGCAAACTTCCCATTCTCCTGCTTAAGACGGAACGCAAACGATGCCATGCAGCAGCAGGCGTTGACTAATGAGTCTGTGTAAGGCGCTTTTTAGTTAGAAATAGAAAATGAAAGATCACCAAAGAATATGGACACTGATTTTCAAGTCGTCTAATTTATCCTTCTCTACCTTCACATACATCAGGCACATTTCTTGAGTTTTGCTCACCTCTTTAAAATTTAAGGCCCTAATTCCACAGGTGGACTGCTGCACCTGATGAAGCTTCTTGCAGGATTAGCGCCCAAACTTGCTACTTACCACTGACTACTACCTGGCATACCACAGTCAAGAGCTGTACAAATTTATAAACACACTCAGCAAAACCACTGTACCTCAATCCCAGTCCCACCCCACACTGTTCCATTCCTGGGCTGTAATCCTGAATAAAGACTACATCTGTGCTAAATTTAAGTTGTGCTGGTTGTGTCAGATGGTCAGATATTGACTGGAGCAGAGAAAAATCACTGTCATTTGCATTTGTCAGTCAGACAATATTGGAACATAGGTCTGTAGATAGGACAAGTTAATTCCTAAAACCGTATCACCTGCCTTTCCTAATCTCCCTTCCCACCTCAAATCTCTCAGTTTAACCCTACATGTATTTTATGTGTTAAGGAAACTACATCTAGGGACTAAGAATGAACAATCCATTAAAGAAGTACGGGCTGGATGAATGCACTATAAGGTGGGTAGAAAGTCGGCCAGATTGTCGGGCTCAACGGGTAGTGATCAATGGCTCCGTGTCTAGTTAGCAGCCCGTATCAACTGGAGTGCCCGAGGGGTCGGTCCTGGGGCCAGTTTTGTTCAATATCTTCATAAATGATCTGGAGGATGGTGTGGATTGCACCCTCAGCAAATCTGCGGATGATACTAAACTGGGAGGAGTGGTTGATACGCTGGAGGGCAGGGATAGGATACAGAGGGACCTAGACAAATTGGAGGATTGGGCCAAAAGAAATCTGATGAGGTTCAATAAGGATAAGTGCAAGGTCCTGCACTTAGGACGGAAGAACCCAATGCACAGCTACAGACTAGGGACCGAATGGCTAGGCAGCAGTTCTGCGGAAAAGGACCTAGGGGTGACAGTGGACGAGAAGCTGGATATGAGTCAGCAGTGTGCCCTTGTTGCCAAGAAGGCCAACGGCATTTTGGGATGTATAAGTAGGGGCATAGCGAGCAGATCGAGGGACGTGATCGTTCCCCTCTATTCAACATTGGTGAAGCCTCATCTGGAGTACTGTGTCCAGTTTTGGGCCCCGCACTACAAGAAGGATGTGGAGAAATTGGAGAGAGTCCAGCGAAGTGCAACAAAAATGATTAGGGGACTGGAACACATGAGTTATGAGGAGAGGCTGAGGGAACTGGGATTGTTTAGTCTGCAGAAGAGAAGAATGAGAGGGGATTTGATAGCTGCTTTCAACTACCTGAAAGGTGGTTCCAGAGAGGATGGTTCTAGACTATTCTCAGTGGTAGAAGAGGACAGGACAAGGAATAATGGTCTCAAGTTGCAGTGGGGGAGGTTTAGGTTGGATATTAGGAAAAACTTCTTCACTAGGAGGGTGGTGAAACACTGGAATGCACTACCTAGGGAGGTGGTAGAATCTCCTTCCTTAGAAGTTTTTAAGGTCAGGCTTGACAAAGCCCTGGCTGGGATGATTTAATTGGGGATAGGTCCTGCTTTGAGCAGGGGGTTGGACTAGATGACCTCCTGAGGTCCCTTCCAACCCTGATATTCTATGATTCTATGATTTACCTCCACTACCATTATTTTCGTCATCTTTTTTACATTTCTTTCCTTTGTTTTTAGCCACATTTCCTGCCCCATTTTCCTGTTCCTTAGAGTGAGTGTTTACTCCTCCTGCACTGCTTTTTCCATTATTTAAAATTTTTCCCAAATGATCTCAGCAGCTTTTTGCTACAGATAAAGCCTTCTTTTCTTTTCCCTCACCAGAATCACCATTCTTGTCTCTCTGATTCTGCAACAGGAACTTAGTTTAAAATACTGCTGATCTGTGAAAAGAACCCAGCTCACTCTCCCCACAGCACTGCCAAACTAAAACATAGTGAACGCTTTTTTTGTTCAGAGAAGTCAGAGACTAGGACTGAGAATACATCCAGGGAGTAGATCTGTTGAATAAGATGCCAGTTTTACAGAGACACTGTTGCAGGATGTACATGTGAACTGTCATGACATCTGGGGGATGTCATGACATAGAAGTTTCCATAGAAGGAATGTCAAACCACACAGATGTCCTGTCATGGACAACTTCTCAAACTAATTTGTAATTAGACAGGAGAAGGATGATCTCATGGTTAGCTCCCAGGACTTGATGTCAGGAGGAGATCTGAGCTCTTTTCCCACTTCTGCCATATTTCCCATGCAAAGCAGCAAGAGAATCATTGCATCCCTGTGCTTCAACTTCCTCCTCAGTACAAGGGGATCTACCTACGTAGCACTTCTCTAGCACCTTACAGTAGAGGATCTCAAATTAGTTTTGCAAGGCTCACAAGACTGGTTTTGTTCTTGAATCTTTTCTTCTGTAACGTAAGCACATTTTGTTCCAAGAGGGATTAGATTTTTGTAATTTTTTTTTCTAATGAAAATGCTACATTCTAGAAATAAAAGCATCACACAACTCCCTACACAACTCAAAAGCGAGGCTGACACATGTGGATGTCCCAAGCGTGTGTGTATGTAGTACACCTTTTATTTTCCTTAGAAAATAAGTCATCCTTTCTACTCCTTTCACCTACCCCACCTCAGCTCATCTCCATTTTTCAGCCTCCATCCCTCTCACCTCCCAGAGGAATTTTTTTCCCTGCCCCTTTCTTTTCTTCCACATCTAATTGCTCAGATCAATACATAGGAGCCAAACACTCACTGTAGGCATCAAAATGCCACTTTGAGCGTCAAAATGCACAATTAGGGGACCAAGTTTGAGAAATGGGACGACAGTTCTTTAGGAAGGGGGTTAACTGTATAGTTATTGTTACTGAATGGTGTTGCCAGATTTTGCATTATTTGTATTTAGTATTAAAAAGCAACATTTATTCCTGTCTTCTAGAAATAATTAACTACTGAAGTTGTTCCAGCAGAAAATTACACCTTCGGGACATTGTTTCACAATTCTTACTGGGACACAGACAGACTTTTCATTTTTTTTATTTTGAACTCAGTACCACTAAGAGAAATGGATTTGGGGCATCCAGTTGGGTGTGGGAAATATCTTCTATGCCAGCATTAACTCTGCATTATAAATATACATCATGTCAAAATGGCATCAGAAGGGTAAAATAAGTCATAACACGCAAATAAGTCTTTGAAGACGAAATAAGTGTTTAAACCTTTTTTTAAAGCCTCCCAGTGACTGACTGAGTTTAGTCTATACTTAGAATGCCACAGGTTATCTGGGCTACATTTTCCTGTAGTTTAAAACAATTTTGTGGTTACTCAGATTTGGGCCCTAAAATTATTTGGCAAATGTCTCTGGAACTATATTCCCAAATGACAATGATCTGGGTACACCCTCCCCCACAAAAATGGGAAGGAATAGCTTGCAGTATGTTTTTTAAAGCCAGTACCGCAATGCAAGATTGGTATTGTAATCAGTCAACTGGATGGAGATGAAATCCAGAGGCCTTCTCATTTTATCTCACTTAGTTTTTGCTACAGTGATTGCTTCCAGTTAACAAACATTTTTTCTTTTTTTAAAAAAGCAGCTGTTTCCAGTCTCCAGTAAAAGACAGCAGATGGGGTTCTGTGCTCTAGCCAAAGACACCAAATTTTTAGAATTTTCATATTGTACTGCACTGACAGCAATGTCACATATTCTAAGGGAAAAATGGAAATTCTGTGTTTGTAATTTGAAAGATCTCTCAACTGGCCATACCTTAAAAAGTTGCTATGATTGATCTGAGAAACTTCTCTAGACTCTATGGCTACATCTACACTACATACCACCTTCAGTGCCCTGTAGCGCACATCTAGCTACACACCACAGGGAAAAGTGTCCTCACGGCAGTGTGTTGCTACACATGTCAAAGAAAGGCTCCAGCAGAGGGGAGGCAGCAGGGAAAGGCTTCAGCCGCTCCCCACTGCCAGAGCCTTTCCCTCCGGTGAGGAAAGGCCTTGGCAGGGGGAGGCAATGAGGAACGGTTGAGCCTTTTCCTCACTGACCCCAGCCTTTCTGTGGAGCAGGGCTTCAGCAGCAGGGAGCTGACATAACCTTTCCCCACTACCAGAGTCTTTTGCTGAGGAGGAGAAAGGCTGCAGTAGCAGGATACTACTCTGCTAAAAAAGCAGTGTAAATGGAAGGCAAAGCTTGGGCTAGTAGAAAACGTGTAGGGAATGTACTCGGCTTCATACCCACACCCTTCAGGCATGTCTTTATTCTACTGACTTAATCCATGTCTCACCATTTACTCACTCTGCTGTGTATACCCATGGAAGAGGGGTTACGTGAGTATGTACAGTACATGCTGCCAAAAGAATCCTGCTATTTAAATGTGCCCTAAAAGTCTTTGTGGGAGAGGGGGCTGTTATTGGTAAGTTAGTTTCCTTTTAAAGAAGTTTAACCACTGCTTATATAGTTATAGCATGAAACACAAACGACGTGATTTGTGCACCCTCTGCTGGCTTTGCAGTTAACTAATATTCTATTCAAAGAACTATGTGTCATCATATATAATCCTGATGCAAAAGAAAAGACATTTTGGCATTTATACAGGCGCTATATAAACTCATTTTATTTATTTTAAAAGATGCCCTACAAAAGTAAAGTACCATACTCAGTAATTAACCATTCACAGCAAATACTGCCTCTGCCAGGCTATTAAGCACACACTGGTAAATTTGAGAAAAATATGTTTACAGGTTAACTTCTAAAAAGATAGACATACTAAGTTCATCTCTGCTCTAAAACAGGAAAACTGCTAAACAGAAGAGGACAAAAGCCTTGGGGGTTAGGGGAAAGCAAAACATTATTTGGAAGATTTTAGGAATATAAGAGGTAATTAAAAGAAACTGAACTATAACAAAATAGTTGATAATAAATAATATTTTCCAAATGTTCTTATAGCTCCACTTGTTTTCCAGTTCAGAAATAAAGAGTATTATTGTCTCTCTCTATGAAATAATATAATTTAACAAAGTAACAACTGTCAATCTTAAAACAGAAGTTTACCCTACCTCTAAAATTGTACATACAGAGGATGTATTCCATGTCACCACTTAGCAAGGATAGGTTTCAAAGTCAACTTACCCAATAAAGTGAAACATTGCTCAAGGTCACATACATATACATCCAGCAAAGCTATACATACACACACCATGGATCAGGGCCGCACACTTTCACACAGCTTTGTGCACAGAATGGATAAAAGTAAGTGCTTTCTATTACTTAGTGGTGTAAGGTGAGTTTTAAAACAAAACATAGTATTGGAGGAGGGGAGACTTTTTGACCATGTAAGAATATATAACTCTAAGTTGTTTTAACTTTTAGAACAATTTTTTTTAAAATCTTGAATTAACTTTCCTTCTGTGGGAGATAAAGGGAGGAGGAGGTGAAAATCCTCACCTTATCATACAGCATCCATCCAATATATTTCAAGTAACTATCATTTAAGAACGTATCAGGATACATTTTCATCCAGCTGCCAATTTCTTCAATGCAGATAGCCCGGATCTCAGGAATCACATCACTGTAAAATTACAAAACTGTGTTATAAACACATTTATAAATACCCAAAAGATACCAGGTTAATTATTTGCTTTTCCGAGCAGGAGATCAAGAGTTGCAGATATACATGCAATCCCAAGTAGCATCTTAAGTGTCCATTCAGTAACTTTTAAACATGTCTTTAATCTACAAATCCCCTACAAAGAATCTGTTAGTGTTTGAAAAAAAACCCTGTTAGCTACACAAGTTGCAATTATTTTGAGGGTTTGGAAGGTCTTTCAACCATAAACTTATTAGTCTGTAGCCAGAAGGAAGAAGCAAACAAAGCAGTGGAGAATGAGTGTACATAATGAAGGGGTTACTTTCTAAGCCTAAATGGGTTTTTTCAAATAATTCAGTATTATGTGCTTTTTCAGAGAAAATTTTACTGTCCCTTGGATATTCATCTTGATTTAACCGGGACACTTTGCATGAGATTTTCTTATGGGATGCATGTATGCTGTACAGACTTATTTTTATTCCTTCCTATTCTTTTTTTCAGTGAGGGAAGTTAGATTGTCAACTCATCAGGGAAGGGACAGTGGGCTCCTATGTGTTAGTACAATATGCAGCACAATGGAGTCCAGTCTTAAGGCCTGTGGGTGCTATTTCAAAAGCATATAAATGATAAATATTCTTACCGATATCTCTGTAAGAATGTCCCTTTGAAAATAGCATTCATCATATTCTCTATTTCCAGCGGTTTCTGTTCATACTGAAAATACCAAAAAAATTGAAAGTTCCAAGTAGGGAATATGACAAATCCCCTTTATATTACAGGAAATTCATATCAAGGTAACCACATTCACGTTGTTACACTGGGTGCAAACCCTACTGTTTGCACAATTCATCAGTACAAAAAAATGAGCCTGTCTACATTAGGGATTTGATTTGGCGCAACTACATCAAAATGAAATGTCACTGGATTTCAACTATGAATCCAAGTACTAAGACACTTCATATAATATATTGGTTGAGGAAAAGAACCTTGTTCTAGCAATACACAGAAGGAATGATACATGCCATTACACAATTAGTTTGCATGTGTACGTCTAAGTTGTCTTTGTAATTCACTTGGACATATGGTAGAAGAAAAGTCAGAAGCTGGAAAAAACCCAGAATACCTTTGGATGAGGTAGTCCAATGGGCACCTTGACGAAGCCCTGAAAACTCGGTAGAGGTCTTCAGAGACAATAAATCATTTAGTCATAATCTATCATTTCTCTTTAATGAAGGTACCATGAAGGTGACAAGTAATTTCCCATCCCACACCTCTTCCCTCTGATTTGCCCAAGAGACTGGGATTAGGAAGCTAACACTTGCCCTAGTCTGTCTCTCCTGCCCTACCTAGCCACCTTTCAACACAGAAGCTGCCTCTTCTTACAAATACAACAATTGTACCCATGACGGAGTTCAAAGATTACATCGGAGGTACTTGGTTGCGAGCTTAGCAGGGCAGGGACTCTCTCTCACATTTGTGCAGCAACAAACTATGCCAGCACCTAAAAGATAATTTTCCATGGTGCAGGATGCTGCATGGACAGTAGGAGAGTCACAAGAGGCTGTCTGGGTGACAGGAAAGGAATAATGGAGTCCGGCAGCAGGAGAGAAATGAGCCATAGTTTAAATTGAGGTCACATGGCATTTTAAGAATCCTTTTTTCATACAGTGATAAATTCCAATATCGTTGGTCTAATTCCAGAGTATAATCTGAGCAAAGACCAAAGAATTGGGCTCATGGTTTGTGGGAGCCCAGTTTTGTGTGTGCATGCATGTGTATGAATAGACATGAAAAAATTACCAGATGCACACAAAAGAGATGCCAATTCACCAGCTAGTCACATCCCCAATTTTGAGAGGCTATCATCAAAACAGAGACTTTAAAGAATACTATGCACTCTACTGCTGCATAATGGCTAGAGCAAGTAGTAAAACGCAGATCAGTTGTGTGCGACATGTCTGGAGTGCTTGTCAGTATAGCACTGAACCTGGTAAGTGAGAACTGCTTTGCAATCTAGCATTGATGATGCTTAGCAAATATCACCTCCCTGTATTTCAAAAGTGTGAGAAAAACATGTGTAAGTCAGCAGCCAGAAAAGAGCCACCTCTATTACTACATCTTCACCCATCCCAAATAACAAACCTGACCCACCTCTTTCCTTTTTCTCTCTAATTGGTCCAGTCTGTGATTGGTCCTCTTGACAGAAATCCTGTTCTTCTCCACTTGATACAGCCTTTGAGCGTTACATTTGCTGACATCAAGATTTAGATTTACTCTTACAAGTGCTGTCAGAAGCTTCAACGCTGAAAAAGAAGAGAAACCAAATAAGTAAGCCTTAGCTCAGCGGTACAAATTACAAAGTATATTCAACATGTTAAAACAAGTGTACTGGTCAACCTCAACCCTACTTAAATTGTAAGATCACAATCCAAGGTAGGAGCAGCAAAAAGACAGATGTTGGGGTAATATTTCATTTAAATTTACTACTTGGCTTGGAAACAAAAGGGTTGTCAGAGGTGTTTTATTCTACTCCTGGTGAAATACTTCTTTTGGTCCAGGTGATGTTGCATGTTGCAGATTTCCTCCTTAATTTTGGACAACAATCTAGAGCTATAGGAGAAGTGCCTTCCTCAGATGTGAAGAAACGTAGTAACATCAGTGCAAGAGCTCAGGACCACACGAGCCAGAGTCTGATGGTCTTTATGAAACCGTATAAAGTGTGTCTACTTTTGTTGATTCAGACCAACAGCTAGATTTCCATTTGTCAGTGGGCACGGATGGCAAAGGCAAAAAAAAATAAAAAAAGGGGGGGGGGCGGGAGGGAAGGGGCTGTGCTGTGACCAATTGTTGGCTTTTTTAAAAGTATAAACTCACCTAGATACTGTCATGCTGTGCAAGATAAGCAAGCTACAAAGGTATTCATTTTAGTAGGGGTATCATAAAAAAACCTCTTGAATGATAAGTTTCTTAGGACAGGCCTCATAAGTTTTAAAATCCTCCCTTTTATATTAATTATATTCACTCAGTGGGGATAGAAGGAAAATTAGTGACAGAAAACTATGTTATGCATAACTTCCACTACATAGCAGAATTCTGAAGTTAATTATCTCAGCTGTTACAAAGTTAATTATCTCAGCTGTTACAAAAGATTTTGCTAAATATTAAAATGCAACTGATCTACTTTACAGATAATCTACATTCCAAGCTTCCTCTTCAAACAAGAATTTTGGGGTGCCGAGATACTCTTGAACGTATTTTAAATACCTGTGCTTTTCTTAAAGCCAGCAGGATACCTACCATGTCCAATGCTTCCAAATTACATTCACACATGCTAGTATATAGGCTTGTTTCATAGAATATCAGGGTTGGAAGGGACCTCAGGAGGTCACCTAGTCCAACCCCCTGCTCAAAGCAGGACCAATCCCCATTTTTTGCCCCAGATCCCTAAATGGCCCCATCAAGGATTGAACTCACAACCCTGAGTTTAGCAGGCCAACGCTCAAACCACTGAGCTATCCCTTGGATAGAATTTTGGGTTTGACCTTTAATACTTTTATATTTTATACTAATATGTGTAAACAAAGGACATAGATCGTGTATGTTGCTTTTGCCTAGTCAGATGGGTTTGTTAGTACAATGGGAACAGATAAGAGCAGTTAAAGTGTTACTCGAGAACACACTTTAAGATTGTTTAAACCCCTATTTTAAGGCAAGGTTAAGCAACCAGTCGGGAGGGGCAAAAGGGTTTTGGGGGGTGAGGTATATAACACTAAAAGACCAAATTGTAAGGGGTGGGACTGTGGGCATGCATTGCAGGTATGTTTTGGCCTGCTAAGGAGGAGGAGGTGGGAATAGGGACTGGGACACAGGCAAGGTTCTGCAGTGTCAGAGCTGGGAAGGGGGACGTGGGGTAAATACTCTGCGGTGTCAGAGCTGGGAACAGAACACTGGAAAACAGACTCTGCCGGCATGTAGAGCTATGGACATGCTTGCTTGGAACTAACCCCAATAAACATCACTTTGCCTACACTTCGGACTTCTGGTCTTCTGCTTTCTGTCTGCTGACAAGAACCAAGGGAGAGGGTGAAGGGAAAGCCCTCTAACAACATATATATGCAGAAGGAGGTTATTAATACTACGGTAGCATCCATAACGTGCTAGGCACTGTTAATGTACAAAGGAAGACCATTCCTGCCTTGGAAAGCTTACAGTCCTTTTTACGTTTGATCAGTTTTGTAAACACACGAGTCACCAAAACCTACAGTCTCTGATGAAAACTGCAACAGCAACGTGAACTGTATTTACCTGCTAAAGTGCTGGTGTGCCTGAATGCTCTGACCCTGGAGTCTGCTAGCCCTGTAAGCAGTGAGATGACTGTGTCCATCAGGTAACTATCATAGAGGATGCTGTACTGACACTGCTGGATTAGCACCGCAGTGAACTCACAGAAATTGGCCTTGAACTTCTTCCAGTAGGGTCCCGGTTTGATGAGTGGATAGTCTCCATTGTCCTATATTAGAAGGAAAAAATAATTATAAAAACTGAAAGTCTCATTTACTTTTCATTTGTGCTGCTTGTTTACTACCCGCATTTCTCCCACCTGAAACAGTGAAGAAATATGCAATTTCAGTTTGGTGTCAAGTGAGATTCTCATCAGTGCCACATGGAGGTACTCATGTTCTAGAAAGTCCTGATGCTAACCTTTAAAGCCATCAATGGGCTGCAGACTGACCGTCTTAGAACTCACTGTGACATTCCCCAGGGTACAATCTGAACTGCTGGACTTCTGTGTCCATTTAGCTCTCCAGCCTGGGATGCCCTTTACACTGCTTTGCTGGTGAACAGCAACCCCTCCAGGCTCTGCTCACACATAGCCACTCACATGTAAAATCACTCCCAGATGAATACATGAAAGCCCAGTCCCAGCCTTGCTCCCCCAAAACGTGTGTCTTGTACTGCTCAGTAGCCTTCTGGGCACTACAAGCTCTTAGATATTTCATCATTCCAACACTGGGTAATGACTATGCACCAACCTTGTTGACCTAAGTAGACATTTCAAAACACTTCAACCAAAACACACTGGTTTAGCTAAAACAATAAAACAATTGTATTAGCTAGAGAAAGAGAGATTTTAAGCGATTACAGGTGATAAGGCCTAGAAGTCAGAATTGGTTACAAAACAAATAAACAGATAAACAAACAAGAAAATTCCTAAACTTTACCAAGGCTAATAGGTTTAAAAGCAAAAAAAGGAATTTTTCTCACCAAAAGCATACAGCAGTCTATAATGGCTAAAAAACCTCGGGGCCAGAACCACTCCCACAGTTCAATTATACTTCTTTTGTCTTTCAAGTGATCTAGCTACCACCAGTAGAGATGGAGGGGAAGAGGTGACGTGGAGGTCACTGCCTCTTATTTTTTTATCCTCTTCTCCTTGAGGATTTGCCCCTCCCCCCCATCGGGGTATAGACTGTGTATATGAGATCTGTACCATCACTGGGATGAAATGTAAGTGTCTTGTTTATGCCTTCTCCCCAGCTGGTGAATGGCCAGTTAAGTAGGTCATGGATTTTTAACAGCTTGCGGCCGTGCCAGTGCATCTTTGTCTCTGAGAAAATGGTTTCTGGGCATTACCCAGAACAACATATTTCAGTAACAATCATACAGCAAAATCTCATAATTTTACACACATTTCAACAGGATAAGAATATTCAGCAGATTATAAGTTTTCAAATTATACCTCTTAGGGCATACTTTGTACACAATATATCATAACCATATAAAAGTGGTGAATGTGGGGTACAGAGCGTCACATGGGCTACAGGGTGTCACACTCACTTCTTCCCACAATCCAGTAGATAGCTCCAGTCAAGAGGGACACTATGGCTAATTGAGAGTAAACTCTCAGGGGCGTGGCAATCTACTATGGAACTCTACCATTGTAGAGCAGAGAAACATAAATCATGCCACGGTTAGAAAACAATGTAAGACTCTCTGCATACAGTGCATGCAAGCCTTTACTGAACAACCACAGCATCTTTCCTGGAGACATAACAAGAAAACTAATTCGAAGAAAGAGGCATAGGTGATGGAGGGCCTGGTCCTTTGGGATGGAATTGCTACTATCTGTATACACATCACTATGGCGATGGGCACATTACAACAACATAGACAGCACAATGCTGCAAGCTATTTCTGATATCAAACACCAAAGAGAAATAGTTTTTGTTTTTATACATTCTATTGCCATTTTCTTTTTAAAGTTGCAGAAATTTCTATTAGTCTTCAATTTTGTAAAAGATCATTTTAATGAAACCTAAACTTTGAGCCAAATTTCTCTTGACAGTGGCCCTTCCAAAATACTATCTAAAAAAAGAATTTTTTTAAGGGTGTGCATGGGGAGAACACACACATAAGTAAAGCCAAGTAGGCTAGCGGGGTGATGGAAGAAAGCACAGTTGGATACTGTCCTAGATCGACAGCTGTTTGAACACCATGCCTATTGCATCTCACATAGGGCTCAATCCTGCAAGGTGCTGAGCACTTTCAATTCCTGTAAAGCCATTGTGTGCTCAGGTTCTTGCTGAATGGGGTCCATCATACATCAAGAACATTTGTTTATTTAAAGCAATTCTGCAGTCACGCAGACAACAACTCTGCACTTGATTTTCACCACTGTACCGCTGGACTGCACCATTAAGCAAGTACAATTTTCACATATATGCAGCATTTGAAATCTTTACTTCAAGGATATTCAAGAAATGCAGCTATTTACCATGTCCACTGGCCAAGTAACAGTCAGAATCCAGGGATAGGCCATAAATTTCTTGTATTGCAATCCTGTTTCCTAGAATGCAAGAGACAAAATTATAAAAGTTTTTGATGAAACCGCAGAAGTGATTCTGAAAGATTTTACATATACAAAAGTACCAATTGTGAATCGTGTTTTAAGATCTTGGGGATTGGTCCTGCTTTGAGCAGGGGGTTGGACTAGATGACCTCCTGAGGTCCCTTCCAACCCTGATATTCTATGATTCTATGTCATTTAAACTTGAGACTGTATACATCTCACACACATGCACACAATCCCCTTTTATTTGGCTTGTTTTTAGCTAAAACCGATGTGTACTTCAGTAAAAGACAAATGCAGTTTTTATTTAAAAACTGGTACTCTTGTACTAACAAGTAGTCAGTGCCAAGTTTCATTTAAACATCAGGTACTGAAGTGTGCAAACTATAATCTTTACTGTTTATTCTGAGAGACAGCATCTGCTTCTCCCTTAGAAATTTAAATATGTATCAATCTGCAACATTCAGTTATTTGCTATTGTGAAACAGCTGACCCCCAGGAAACATCCCAGTTCAAGGGTAGGCAAATATGCTCACATTTGCAAGTGAGGGCAAGCCGTATTTCAAAAACCTAACAGCTTTATCAGTCAATCCCATTTTCACATGAATTTAGGCATTCTTTGGGGATTATCATCTTAAAAAAACAGCTAAATGATATTTTGAAAATTCACCACACTCTGGATTCCAGCGTCCTTTAGACAAGACAAAACCCTCATTAATTATTGTGCATTTCAAATTGCGCTGAAAAGCACATCCATGGTGGATCTGAAACGATTTAAACTTGTTTTAATGTTTTCAATCACATTGTATTTTGAAGTCGCTGGCAGCCCCTGAGCACTTTGCTGGCAAGAGAAAGTGAGCATTTTGGCCCTAATCCTGCAAACACTTGCTCACATGCTTACCTTTACTACCATTAATAGTCCCATCATTTCAGTGATTTGACAAACTGTTTAATCTTGTCCTCCTCCTCAGAAGTGTTACCACGTTGAAATCTTTTCTCCATTTCAACGGGACTACTCAAGGTAGTAAAGATGAACATATGTGTAACGCCAGGGTACACAAGGCCTTAGGCATACACAGAAGACACAGCTGCATAGGGCACCTGAAAATATGGGGCATCACTGGGTCTTAGTGTCCACCTTCCTGGCTCTCCTATCCCTGTTCTGACTCTTCCTGCAGGTTCCCACAGCTGGCTGCTGCAGCCTGGTGACTCTTACTCCGAGGGGGTCCAGTAACTTAAAATTGAAAAAGACTTCCAGCCTGCCAAACCTATTAGTACAACATTGAAACTGTTAAAGAGCCATGCAAATGGTAATGAAGGCATTTAACAGGCATTTGCCAAACCCCAGGTATACACTGCCAGTTTCTGAGGGCTTGTCTACACTTACATTTTATAGCACTCTAACTTGCTGGCTCAGGGGTGTGAAAAATCACTCCCCTGAGCACAGCAAGTCTGAGCACTTTAAAGCGCTAGTGTGGACAGGCTCTCAGCTGCCCCACCTCATGGAGGTGGATTACCAGGACCTCACTCCCACGACAGCACTTTGAAGTTTCCAGTGTAGCCATGCCCTGAATTTACTAAAAAAAAAACAGTTGTGCATTACTGTAATATTTACTCAGAACATGTTACTCTACAGGACCTTAGTTTAAAATTTGCTTTAAAAATATCTCACTAGTGAGTTAGTGAAGCTTATAAAATCACATCTCTAAAAAATCCTTGCATAGATTTTTAGATGCACAACCATCTTTTGTCTTAAATGCTTGGATCTTCAGACATATTTTTTTTTTAAATAAATCCTTCAAAAGACCACCCGTAGCTAAAATACACATTTTAATTTTAATTTCTGTGGTAAAAGAAACTTGCTTCCAAAGTCTTCCTATCCTTTCTGTCCATCCCTTTCTCCCTTCAGCCCCTTTTGTTATGCCTAAAATCTTTGGAAACATATTTTTTAAAGTTGATGACATTTCATAAACATGTTTATTGTTACAGAGATCACACGAAGTAAATTAGTGTTCCCATTTTCTAAAAGCAATGAACATTGTTATGAACACACTAAACCTCTGTGACATGATTAATTTAAAATAATGTCTTTGTTTCAGTGAGTTAAATATGTAGTAATCTGGAATGACTACTTTCTGAAGACTTATGAGTACATGTAAAATCAGCTTAGAAATACTGATTAAGAAAATGTAAAACAGAGAAGAGCTGCATCATGTATTCCATAACATTTAATGTTGTATTCAGCAAAACAACTGACTCGCCCTTACTACAAAGTTTTTGCAAATAAATGTCTGACAAACTTCAGGGCATATCATAAAACCTGACTGACGTTTTTTATTCCCAAATTTAGTGCTTTTAATTAGGTACCTTCTCTGCATATTCATTCTGCGTGAGGGAGAGGGTACAGGGGTCTTTTCAGGGAACTGTGACTTTCCGCCACCATGAGGTGGGCCGGGCGTCTTGCTATGCCTTATTTCCCCCCCCCCCCTCGGGCTGCGAGCCCGGGTTGCCATCAGGCATAGAGGCACCAGTTTAATAATACTGTGTGGGGCCCCATAAATCCTAAGGACAGCCCTGCGGGTACACTACAGACTTCACATGGCATAGCTATGTCGGTCAGGGGCACGAAGCAGCGTGATCCCCAATACAGCTGTGCCAGCAGAAGCCTCTGTCGTAGATGCTGCTATAATGCAAAGCTGTGCTTTTACTAGTATAGCTTGTTTCACCCATGGGGGGCTGGGGATTACTATACTGGTGCGAAGTGGTAGCATAGCTGCACCAAACTAGGAGTGTTCTGACAGTACAGAACACTGGTATTCCTGTACTGGTAAAGTGTTCCTCTTGTAGGCATAGCCAATCAGGGCCACTATAAAGTAAAGCACAGTATTCACTCCAGGACAGTAAAAGGTCTCAAATCCAAGACGGATAAAGTCAGACTTTTCAATTTACTGGTATCTCAGAGCAGGGGCTTAAGGAGGGATACAAATAAGATGAGGGTGGCAAACTAACTTAGAGGGCAAGCATGGAAAAAGGCACTCAGAGGATTGTGAGATAATTGGCAAAAGACAGTGGAGGCTGGCCTTATTAGCCAGGCAAGACTGAGGGGTGGAGGTGGCACTTTAAAGACACAGTTTTTCTAATACACTTCAGGGAATAAAATATCCTGTCTGGACCGTGATCTGACATTAGTAATGCACATTATTATTGCTCTCACATCAAAAGGACAGCAATGGAAATTCATACGATCAACAAAATGGGAAGGGAAAAAAGTTTAAGTTCCAACGGACAACTAGTTTCAACAGCAGCTCCCCATCCATCCATACTATGTATTTTTAAAGGCACTTATCAATAAGGTCCCAAAGCATGATGTTACCTGCAGCCATTACAGACTGTATTTATCATTATTAGAACATCTTAAGAGGAAAAATACTATGCCCCCAATTTATTTATTTTATTGAAAAAGAGCTAGATGCAAGACTTAGCAAGGATGCAGGGAAGTATTATGAAAATATTGAAGACAGCAATACTCTCTGTTTCAGGCACCTTGACTGCTTCTCATTCCAGATGTGCATAAAACCTTTCCTACAGGGGAAGAAAGAGGGAATGCAGGCTTCAATGAGCGAGAGAGAGATACTAGACAACGAACAGTACTATCCAATTTTCATATTGATAGCGATTGCTTATTCAAATGAGCCATATGAAGTCATAGTTTCATGTTGCAATTACCTCATCAAATGTCTCCGTCATTTTTTGTATTACATCACTGTTGCACAAACTTTGGAACATCTCAGCTGTCACCATTCCTAGATAGATGAAATTGAAATATTTGAGAATTAAATGGAAATATTTTGCCATACCATATATTAAAATTTCAAAAATAATAAAGTCCATACTATAGTAGTGGCTTTGACCTAAATCCATGGGTGCCAAAAAAAGTAACCCAAACTGTTCTACTTGTTTTTGCATTAGTGCAAGTTGACAAATAAATAGGTTATTAGCAGCTGATAACAGTGCACCAACATTCAGCTTCAGAGAAGGAGCGTTGAGTTTGGTATCAAACTGACACCAATTTGTTTATCCACTTGTATACCTTAAATTCATTCATTGGCAATATTTTATGATAGAGGTGCTTAATAAGCCATTTAACAGAACAGGCTTTGTTCTGTTTGCTAAAGCAGATAAAGTCTACAAGATTCCAATCTGTATATCCAGAGGATTTGGGAAACAGACTAAGTAATCATTTATTCTGTAGCTGTATCACCAGAAACTAAGCATGGAGTACACAATTCAGTACTTGAAAGGGAAATCACTAGGGAACAAGTGGGTGCTGCAGAAAGTAACATTGGTGCTTCAATGGATGGCACCACTCCCTCGGAATCACGGCCAAACTAACACCTCCATATGGTATAAGGGGACACCGTGCTGCGGAAGGTGCTAGATTTCAGATGAGATAGCAGTTGGTGTCTCTATGCCTGCTTTGGAAATAATTAATTATTACTTAGACTCACAGTCACTCTGAATGCATCGGATGAAGTGAGCTGTAGCTCACGAAAGCTTATGCTCAAATAAATTTGTTAGTCTCTAAGATGCCACAAGTACTCCTTTTCTAGTCACTCTGTAGCAAGTAGATAGAAGGAAGAGAGATACATTGTTCCTCAAACAATTGAAATGTGAGACTCAATTTGCTAGTACTTGTAAAGTACCTTCAGAGCCTCAGATGAAAATACTAGGTCAGTGCAAACTAGCATTCTGAAATCAACAAAAAATTAGGATTTCAAATTTGAACAGTCATGAAAAATATTCTTCACAAAAGTCAGTGATTCTGTAAAGACATGTCGGCATGTTTCAGAGTGTTTGTTACACAAGAAGGTTGAATCTTGAAGCCATCATATGCATAGAACTCTCAGTAAAGTTAAGGGGAGTTGTGTGCCCAAAGGCTGAAGAATTTGGCCATTGACATCCTCCATCATTAATCTTGGTATGTCTAGAGCCCATTAAAACAAACAATCCACTTCTATATAAGTGACTTATTATAAAGGTAGTTTCTGTCCAGAAGAAACTGTCCAGCAAATGGATATGCCTATATGATACTGAATTACCTTGACAGCCTGAGCACTGAATGTAGAAGTTGATCAGATCTAGAAGTGCCACATCTCGATCTTGGATATAAGCTTCAACCCAGTCATCTACCACAGACTAAAACAGATTACAGGAAAAAAAAAAAAAAAAAAAAAAAAAACAGTGATCAAAGGCTAAACAAGGTGTGATATGCTCCAGCCTGTGAAATTCTTAATATAGTATGTCTTACACTATTCTGTCACCAATAGTTATAAAAAATAGATATCCAGAATAAGTTGTCCACCATTTGGTTATGGCCACAACAGTATGTGTGCACACAACTCCTTATGAAGCAAAGTAAACTGTTAGAACACTATTCCCAGAACTGCACACTCCCCTATAAGCAGGGCTAGAACAAACTCAGGCTATGCTAGAACAAAATAAAACATCTGCTCTCAAAACAAAAAAAACCCCAATGTTTATATCAAAATGCTTACTTAGAGTTTCACAAACAAAAGAAAATAAAAAAGGCAGTCGGGCACCATCACTAATCAGTATCATAAATATTCTACCAGACTCATATCATACAAAAAATGGTTACAAAAATGTATTTGAGAAGTTTACATACATTGTATCAACCATTAGAGACAGGGTATACTATAAAAACACTAGTATTAAAGAAAACCATCAGCTTTAAAAAAAAAAAAAAGACTTCTATCTAAAGTATGTCACCTGCTGTTGTTACAGCAGCACCTAAGATGCCTATAACTGAAGGAGATGAGGAAAAAAGTTTTACTTTCATTTAATTTCATTCATTATTCATATATTCCAAGCCAGAAGGGACCATTGTGACCATCTAGTCTGACCTGCTGTGTAACATAGGCCATAGAACTTCCCCAATATAATTCCTTTTGAACTAGAGCTTACCTTAAAAAAAAATCCAATCTTGATTTTAAAATTGCCAGTGATGGAGAATCCACCAACATCCATGCTAAATTGTTCCAATGGTTAAATTACTCTCACTGGTATGAATGACAATGAACAGTCACTGGACTAGGGAGAGTGAGAATGATGCTTTAGCCTGGTGGTTAGGACTCTCACTTAGGATGTGGAAGATTCAAGTCCAAACCCTATTCCAGCGACTGCTTTCAGTGAAACAGCTTCAAAAGAAGAGACTGAGACCACCTTCTACACACCAGAATAGCCTACAGCTCTGTGGGTAGGGCCCTGACTGGAGAGGTGGGAAATTCAGGTTCAAATCCATTCTCCAAATCAGACAGAGGGGGAAACTGAACCCTGGTCTCCTACATCGTAGGTAGGTGACATAAACATTGGGCTAAAAGTTATAAGGAAAGCAGCACCACCACCTTCCCACCTCATTTTGTGAATCTAGACCTTTAGGAAAAAGCTGCAAACATGTCTTTCAATGCAAAATTGATTATTTTTTTTGATTTACCAAAAAAATTCACAATTTTCAGATTTAGTTAAACCCAAACCAAAAATTTTTTCCAATTTTTTCTAAGGGCCAGTGAACGGAATATAATTTATTTGCCCAGCTCTAACTCTAAATTTAAAGAGTGGTGAACCCCAGGCCCTGATTCTGCAAGATGATTAATCTGTGTGCCTGAAGAAACCCCACTGAAGTTAATGAGGCTCTTAATGGGAACAGGGGTTCACCCGCACAAAGCACCTTGAAAGACTGGGGCCTACAGTCCAGAATATATATTAATTAAAAATATTTTAAGTGGGGGGGGTGGGGGAAGCACTTCTTTGATTTCATAAGGATTTCTTCAGCACAGAATAAACTTACTGACTGTACAGGGAAACAGGGTATACTGACTACTTACAAAATGCTGTCAAACTAGGAGGGCAGGGGAGATAATAGACAGGATTTCCTAAAAGGGATGTCGCTTAGAGCCACATTCAGGCACTTAAGTAGCTTGGTTTTCAAGAGTCCTAAGCTCCTAATAACTTCCACTGAAGCCATGGGAACCACTAGGTTTTGAAAAATCAGACGCCTTTTTAGGTGCTTAAATATTTTGGAGCCTCACTTTAGGCACCTTTTGTTTGGAAATCCATGCCCAAGTTGTCTCACTCACTTCTTCCACAGTTACAGTAACCGTGTTACTTGTAAGTATAGGAGTCAAAAAAAAATTGCAGACAAAGTGTTATTTTGCAAGTTGACGGTATAACAACGACTACACAAAGACTCAACAGATTTCAGAATTAAACCAGAAATTCTTGAGATGTAACTAACAGAAATCATTATGTGCTCATTTCCCCTCCCAGCAGGTAGAATGTCAATTCATTCCAGGAACTGAAGGTACAGTACCTGCATTGCCCTCTTGCCCATGCTGACCACTTCAAACAACGTAACTGCTTTAACCACTTCTCCATTCTGCGGCTGGCTTGGCCTTCTGCTCCTGGAAGAATTTCTTCGTATGTGTGCACACTGTTCTTGGACCTTCCTTTTTCCTCTCTAAAATCATTCAAGAGAAGATGTGTAACCATAAGACAACTAATGGCCAGCCAGACAAATGCAGGCTCCCTGGATGGAGAGCGCTCTGTCCTCTAGCAATATGTGCCGGTTACTTCCATTACATCATTTCCCCAGGATTTGATAGAAGATATCTGTAAAAGCTGTCTGACTGCCAGTGGCAAGGAACTATCAAGTATGGGGAAGGGATAAAGAAGAGGATATCCCAGGTGAAGCTTCCTTTTGCAAGAACATCCTTAACTAGGAGAGTGTAACTGGTGAGCAGCTGCCAAGTGTAGCAACGATAGTCATTTCTGAATGGGGATTTGGTAAACAAACAAACAAGTCTATTTGCTTGCAGGATAAGCACTGCATTGGCATTACTATCAGCTGCACATACTGTGTATTTAAGGAAGCTCATATCCCAAAGAGGGTTGCCAAGCCTCCAGGATTGTCCTGGACTCTTCAGGAATTAAAGATTCATCTTCAATTAAAGATGATGTCATCTGATGAAACCACCAGGAATATGTCCAACCAGAGTTGGCAACCCTAATCCCAAAAAGAAAAGGAGGACTTGTGGCACCTTAGAGACTAACCAATTTATTTAAGCATAAGCTTTCGTGAGCTACAGTAAAGTAAGGAGCTACAGCTAAAGTAAGGAGAGTGATCACTTTAGATAAGCTATTACCAGCAGGAGAGTGGGGTGGGGGGAGAGAAAACCTTTTGTAGTGGTAAACACCCATTTTTTCATGGTTTGTGTGTATAAAAAGATCTTCTGTACTTTCCACAGTATGCATCCGATGAAGTGAGCTGTAGCTCACGAAAGCTTATGCTCAAATAAATTGGTTAGTCTCTAAGGTGCCACAAATACTCCTTTTCTTTTTGCGAATACAGACTAACATGGCTGTTACTCTGAAACATAATCCCAAAGTGACTTGATTGTGACTCCTGATGTCAACAGAATTTTGGATCAAACTAGCCAGGGAACGAGAGGGGAGAGGCTCTTTATCCCCATTGTCAATGCCATGCAATATCCCACCCACTTTTCTCTTATTCCGTGTAAAAGGCTACTAATTTGTATAATGAAAGCATGAACTTACTGGGGTTTGCACGTTGCCATTCCTCAGACAGCTGCCACTCTGTACAGTGGACCCAGGCACAGTCTCATCATGGATAGCATTTTCTCTGGAGCATAATAAACAGAAAATATCGAAGGGTATATAGGACTTCTGTGAACAAACTGATCTGCACCCAAATAACAGATTTGCAATGTCTCCACAACAGGCCAAGTGGCTTTCAGAGCACAGGAAGTTAAATATTAAGGTGTCAACATTTAGGAGGAAAATGAAGTGTACGCATGGCCTATTATACCTCTGCATAATCTGCATGCTGGGTTTTGAAGCCGTTTGATTAATCTGCAATGAATTTACATCTTTTCCCAGCATTTTCCACAGTGAACAATATGCTTTAGCAAAGGCCATTTTTAAGCTGTCTTAAATGAACTCATTGCCTACCAGCAGACAAGGAAAGTTGGGAGAAAAGGTAATAGGTACAGTAACCACTTTTCATTCTACAATCATGCCTAATTTGAAATTAACTTTTAATCATAAAGAATAGGGAATCCAATTATTTTTCATAACTATCTACACAACAAAAAGGTAAACTCAGAAAAGTGACCACTTAATGGGGAACAACATTCATGGAGATTATCACATCAGTGACACAGTCACTATCAATGATATGTGACAACAGTCCCATCAAAAGTATCTGAAATTTTAAAGATTCATGGATTTTTAAGGCCAGATGGGACCACTAAATCATCTAGTCTAACTTCTTGTATAACATGGGCCACAGACTTTCATCCAGTTACTCCTGTATTAAGTGCAATAAAATACAACAGTGAAGCTTACTGACTTGTTAATTTCCTTAGAACCCCTACATGGAACAAATTTGCACCCTGCTCTTCAACTAACTCTGCAGTCTGCAGAGCAGACCTCTGCAACTGCATAGAGACAGCTGAAGACTCAAGGCTCCAGTGTATTTTATTGGTGATAATAAATGGCAGGTTTTGTTGAAACACTTAAATTTACTTTTTTGTAAAGTAACATTCTGCATAACACCCATGTCTTACAAAAATTTATGCACGGGCTTAAGTGAGTACTTACATTGGTTTCTATGTGACTTCTCACCATAGTAAAATTAAAAATGTACGTATGTGTTTGAAGGATTGAGTGCTAAAACAATAATCCAGGCTGAGTAAGATCTTAGGTAAAATTTTACTAACTTAGAAAAAGTTGGACTGTAGAGAGAGATGGATTATAGGTAGTAGCCAAGTCAGACTGCTACATGCAAGAATTATCAAATGTTTCTCTTTGATTTATTATTTTCTGAGCCGCAGACAGTAAGTGGCTCAGTCAAATGCTGTTTAAACCATTCTAGTTCAAAACTGGAGACGTTAAAAACCTAAATATATATTTAGCTTGTTCTTCCATCACATACTCTTTTCCTGATCCCAGATGGATCTTCCCAGACATTAATCTTTTGTAGTCCACTAACTAATTAAAAAGATTCAAGATAGCGTACTTTGTTTTGTTCTTCTACATAATTAATTTCTCTCTCCCTCGGTGTTGAAACTGGGTGTAACATTACATAGCTAGGCTAACACGTTCTTACTTGTGCTGTTTTACTAGAACACCAACACAGAGCGTAGCCAATCACTTCACTACTTGCCCAACCCATTGTCACAATTAAAATACTTGTTATAATGCTCAATATAATTTTTAACTATTTCCCCCCAATTCTTCCCATATAATGTACAGCAATATATTTGTACCATTCCATGGTCCGCATATTTCACAGCTGCTATAATCAAATCCAGAAGTAATACAGTTCTTAAATTATGGGAAAAGTAAAGATCTCATTGTAGGACAACTCAGCCCAGGTCTTGTCTGAGCATGCAGATTACTGCTTCTAAGAACTGTTTCATATTCAGTTCAACTAGAATTTTATATCATGCAGATCTTTCCCAGGCACCTCACGGAAGCCTGAGAGGTGATCTACAAATAAGGCTCATATGGGAAAATCATCATATGGGAAAAATGAATTCAATAGTGTTACACAAGGGATGAATTTGGCCAATGGCATTTATGTCACAAGGCCATAGGCCTTCCACTAACTAGGCCATGAGGAGCCGCCATGCAAAAAATACTGAAGCTCCAACTTTTTAGGTCACTTGAAATATTGGGTTGCCTCTATTCCCACTGCACTGTGATGCCACAGAAAGCACCATGCTGTAACATAACCCCACCAACCTAGAAAAAGTCAGTAACATATCTTTGGGCATATTGCTCTGGTTTTTAAAAAATAATTTTACAAGAGTAAATTACATGTTGCATACTTTTCCTTCTCTCCTCCTTTCTATTATCTGTAGGGTTTCTATTTAGATTAGAAATTCTTTAGGGCAAGGATCTTGTATGTGCAATAGGCACCTTACAGATCTCTAAACATTATACAAATGATACATTTTAAAAACATACCCAAAAAACACACAAGGAGAGTCTTACACAGGAGCCATATTAGGAAAGTACCAACTGACCACAGCAGAAGTCAGAAAGAATACACCTCAGTATGAGGTAGGAAAACAGCCTCTCATTTAAACAGCAACCCATAGAAACAGTAAGTGTTCACCATCCCACACCAGGTACAGATTGGTGTTAGTTCCAGAAAGATGATAGCCTATGTTCAAAGCTCCTCTAATGTGCTTCCTGCCTTTCTTTATCCTTCAAGGAGGCCTGGAAAGTCTCTCCCATTCACCAGATATTCAAACAAACAGTTTGCACACATTAATAAGGGACACAATCTCAGATACTGCTGGTCTGCAGGTTCTCCCTTTTCCTCAGAAAGACCTGGCCACTCTGGCTGCTCTCCAAGTGGATAAGCAGTCTGTAGCCTAAAAGCTTCCCCTTTCCCTCACTGCTCTTTCTCTCTCTTCCAGGCAGACTGATATCCGGTTCCTTTCAAGCCTAGTAGAGAGCTTCCCTAAACTATCTCTCAAAGCTGGTTTTTTGCCCCTTTTTATATCTTGAACCCATCCTACTTATTCCCTTCAGTCATAGGATGCCCCACTCAAAACTTGACATTTATGGCAAGTGTTATCGTCTTCAAGGGCACAGCAAAGAGCAACATATCTGCAGGCCACAGCAGCCTCTTTCTGCCTGGTCCAATGTGGGATTTGTACACCCACACAATAAAGATAGAAAGCTATATCAATCAATAACCACCATAGTTTAAGTTTTTTTAAACCAACATTTGGACTGTTTTATGAAGCTATGGTTCTTCCTGACTGATGTGCTTATCTAGCTTTATCTGTGTTGGGAGCAGCACATAACCTACTTTTTAGTTTCTTGAATTGTTCTGGCTCTCTTATTTTGCATCCCTTAAAAAAAATTTTGATCTTTTTTAATCTTTATATAGTTTTTCTCTGTGATGGACTGCAAAGTTTCTCTCTCTTCAAATGTTTTTGTTTATTTTGGTACAGAGTTTCCAAACTACAAATTAAGGCTAAGGCCAAGATCCTACAAACTCTTAAGCACATACATAACTTTTCTGCAAGACTGCTCACAGATAGAGTTATGTATATGCTTAACTGTCCGCAGTATGTGAGCCAAAGTGATGGAAACTATACCATATGGAGCCATTTAGCAGAGCAGACATTACTGAAGTAAATGAAATTTACCTACATTAATTTTATGTGCACATCTTTAACTTTCTTTGAACATATTTTATAAACAGAATTAAGTCCCTCTATCTTGTCTCACCACAGCTGTATAGAGCAACTTGAGAACTATTATACCTGGAGGTACCAAAGAAGAATGACACATAGAACATAAGAATGGCCACAATGGGTCAGACCAATGGTCCATCTAGCCCAGTATCCTGCCTTCCAACCAGCAGCTGTCCTGCCCCCTTGTTACAATAAATGGGTGTCTCTTCGTTCCTCAAAAAAAAAAAAAAAAAAAAAAAGTGGCTGGCGCCAGATGCTTCAAAGGGAAAGAACAGAACAGAGTAATTATTGAGCGATACATCCCATTTCCCAACCCCAGCATCATGCAGTCAGAGACTTAGGGACACTGAGAGCATGGCATCGCATCTCTGACCATCTCAGCTAACAGCCATTGATGGACCTGTCCTCCATAAACTTATCTAATTCTTTTTTTAATACAATTATAGTTTTGGCCTGCACAACCACCCCTAGCAATGAGTTCTACAGGTTGACTGTGTGTTGTGTGAAGAAGTACTTCCTTTTGTTTGTTTTAAACCTGCTGCCTAGTAATTTCATTGGATGACCCCTGTAATTGTCAGGATCACCTCTGGAGCCTTTTTTTAAAAATGGCATCACATTAATTATCCTCCAATCAATTGGTACAGAAACTGATTTACATAATAGGTTACCCACCACAGTTAGCAGATAAGCAATTTCATATTTGAGTTCCTTCAGAACTCTTGGGTGAATACCATCTGGTCCTGGTGACTAATTACTGTTTAATTTAGGAATTTGTTCCAAAACTTCCTCTATCAACACCTCAATCTGATACCTCAGATTTGTCCCCTAAAATGAATGGCTCAGTTGTGGGAATCTGTCATCCTCTGCAACAAAGACCGATGCAAAGAATTCATTTAGCTTCTCCACAATGGCCTGGTCTTCCCTGAGTGCTCCTTTAGCACCTCGATCATCCAGCGGCCCCACTAATTGTTTGGCAGGCTTCCTTCTTCTAATGTACAACGGAAGCCCGTTTAACCGAGCCCCCAGTATCCAGCTCTCCGTATTAACTGAACATCTAGCACACACACAGGAAAATGGGAAAGTGACGTCACCTCCATGACACCACTACTTTTTAGCCTTGTAAAAAGACTGCAACTACTAAGCAAACACACGTATTACTGTCATTGGAGGCTAAAATAGAGATGATTAATCAAATTAAAAAGGAGAGTCGCTGACAAAAATAGCCCAAGAGTATAGCACTGGCGAAAGCACAGAATCAAACATCAAACACAATGCCAAGCAAATTCTTAAGTACAGCATAAAGAACTCTGCATCCTGGAAGACCATGAAGAACTCGAAGGACGCTGATCGAGGTGAAGCCCTTTACTGGTGGTTTACAAAGGTGAGAGAAGAAGGCATACCTATTAGTGATCCTTTACTATGTGAGAAGGCTCAGAGCTTAATCAAGCTTTAGGGAGGGACGCAGGTTTCTCTGCTAGTTAGGGATGAATCAGTCAGTTTAAAAAGCGTCACAACATCTGACAACTAACAGTCACCGGGGAAAAGCTTTCTGCCGATTTGGGAGTTATTTCTGACTATAAAAAAAAATTGCAAGGTGTCTTAGCCAAGCACAACTTGTCACCGGAACAAGTTTATAACTGTGACGAGACTGGCTTGTATTGAAAGATATTGCCATCAAAAACACTTAATACCAGAATGTAAAGATCTGTGCCTGGCTACAAACAAAGCAAAGAATGTTTAGCAATCCTGGCCTGTGCTAATGCCAGTGGCAAATACATGCTCCCATTAACTGTCATTGATAAAGCAAAGAATCCTTGTCTGCTTAAAAATGCACTCACAGATGCTTTGCCTGTCATCTACAAATCACAGGGAAAAGCATGGATGGACAGTGCTTTGTTTCGTGATTGTTTTTTAAAAATCTGTGTACCAAGCATGTGGGTTCATCTGAATGAAGAAAATATCCCACCAAAAGCTATCTTACTGCTGGCCAACACACCCGCTCACCCTGACAACAGAGGGCTTACCTCCCAAGATGACCCGATCTTCTGTTTTTTTCTCCTTCCAAACGGAACATCTCTTGTGCAGCCTATGGAGCAAGGCGTGCTGAAGAGTCTAATATGGCACTATAAATGGCATCTTCTTAATTGACCACTGATGTCTGATGAAGCATCTGAGAATGAAGGCAACATGTTGCAGCACTGGAAAAAAATCAGTATCAAGAATGCTATATATGGGGTTCCAGAAGCTTGGGACGACATCCCCAGGTCAAGCTTACAAAAATCATGGAAAAATCTAGTGTCTGATGTTATCGCTAACACTTAGGACAGTGAACTTGCAGCTGCAACAGCAACATTACCAGCTGAAGAAGAGACCAATGCATTTGTTGACCTCCTCCACAGACTTCCTGGCTGCACAGAAGTTGACAAAGATGATGTTGCAGATTGGCTCGAAAATGATTGATGCTAATGACCCCGGCTATCAGTTACTGGAGGATGCCAAAATCATGCAGACTGTACACTACATGCAGACAGTGATTATGAAGCTGAAGATTCTGCCAAGGAAGAATTGACAGAAAACATTTCTCACTGCAATGCTGCAACAGGAGTAAACCTCTTCCTTCCGTACTTGAAGCAACAGCCCGGTACCAACCCCACTGAACTGTGGTTAATGAAGTGACTTTGTGATCACATAATGAAGAAGAGAACCTCTCACCTAAAAAACACTGTAAAGAAGGGGGCTATGTTTTAAGGCTTAAGTTTATCATTTCTGCATTTTTAAAAACTGGTACTCTTCACTAGCAGTAACTGTTCATATGCAGGCAGTAAATAAAGCAGGTAGCTATGTTTTAATGCTTTGTAATGATCATTTTTGCATTTTTTTTAAATTGTAGTTTGTCATATTACAAGTAAACATGCTAAACGGAGTTGGTGCCTTGTGTAACATTACACAGACTTTGTACACGGTCCCGATAATGTTCAGGGTTAATGACTAAAGAGTGTAAAAATGATCAATACAACTTGTTAAAAACTCATGTCGGTTTTCCTGTTAATAAATTAACAGAACATTGTTTGTAAGAACTAACGGTTTGTATATTCTGTTAAACAGATTAAAAGGGGGTATGTTTTAATGCTTTTTCTGGGAGGGATCCAGCTGGTTTAAAAGCAACTCCGCATCTTAAAATAATGGCTTGAAAGCTCTTTGCCCATTCTCCTGATTATCTGAATTTTTGATTCTCCAATCTGGTCCTGGTCCCAATCAGATAGGTACATTTTGCTGTTAGTTTTTGTGTCTTTTGCTCATTACTTCTAAATGGATTATCTCCTCTCAGATACACATGTGCACCCCCGTTGATTTCAATGAGGCTGCATAGGTGTAACTGTGGGCAGACTGTGGTATGTCATACTATGAAAGTATAACATGTGCCATACCTTTTTAAAGTGCCCACAACATCTATCATTCATTTCTACCTAGGTTTCTACTTCAGCCAGGAATTTACTGGAAAGAGCACTGGAAGGCAACAAGACCTCGAAGCAAATTCTTAACAAGGAGAGGTGGAGATGAGTGTATCTCCAAACTCCTGTAGAACCCAAATGAGATGAGAGCACCCTGGAGAAGACCTGTTTTGGAGGTGATGAGATCAGCAAGTAATTGATTAAAATTTAGGTTCAGCTTAGTGAAGATGCAAAAAACATGTAAGTAAGAACTGCACAAAAGTTTTTCTTCTGAATTTAAATTTTGCCTGTTTTAATCTTGTTTCATTTATCCATTACCTATATATTCCTTGACTAAGGTTTGTAATGGTTGTAAATATTGCTATAAATCTAGTCTGCATTTTCTCTTACACAGTGATAGCGTTGCTTATAATACAAAAGAACATAAGAAATGCCATACTGGGTCAAACCAGTGGTTAATCTATCCCAACATAGGCACCGACTTCATGGGTGCTCCAGGGCTGGAGCACCCACTGGGAAAAATTGGTGGGTGCTCTGCACCCACTGGCAGCCAAGTTCTCTCCCCACCTCACCTCTGCCTCCGCCTCCTCCCCGCTTCTCCTCCCAGCACTTGCCACCACAAAACAGCTGTTTCATGGCATAACAAGCTCCGGGAGGGAGGGGGAAGGAGCAGGAATGCAGTGTGCTCAGGGGAGGAGGTGGGGAAGAGGCGGAGATTTGGGGAAGAGGTTGGAACAGGGGCAGGGAGGGGCAGAGTTGGGGCAGGGACTTTGGCAAAAGGGTTGGAATGGGGGCGGGACTGGGGGTAGAGAGGGGTCAAGCACCCACCAGCACCAGCAGAAGTTGGTGCCTATGTATCCCAATATCCTGTCTCCAACAGTGGCCAGTGCCAGAGCTTCAGGTGGAGTATCTAGAACAGGGCAATTTTGGAAAGATCCTCCCGTCTTCCCCTCCCAGCTTTTGGCAGTCATATTTAGGCCACCCTGAGCATGAAGCCATTGATGGATCCATCCTCCATGAACTTATCTAGTTCTTTTTTGAACCCAGTTATACTTTTGGCCATCTTAACATTCTATGGCAATGAATTCAATAGGTTAGCTGTGCACTGTGTGGAAAAGTATTTCTTCTTCTTTGTATTAAACCCCCTGCCTATTAATTTCATTGGGTGACCCTTTGTTTTTGTATTGTGGGAAAGGGTACACAACACTTCTCTGTTCACTTTTTCCACACCATTCATGATTTCATAGAGGTTGATTACAGCCACCTGGATTGTCTCTTTTCCAAGCTGAACAGCCCTAATCTTTTTAGTCTCTCCTCATATGGAAGCTGTTCCATATTCTTGATCATCTTAGTTATCCTTCTCTGAAACTTCTCCAATTTCACTATATCATTTTTGAGATGGGGCAACCTGAACTGGACGCAGTATTCAAGGTGTGGATGCACCATCGTTTTATATAGTGTCATTATGATATTGACTTTTTTCTGTCCTTTTTTTAATAGTTCCCAACATTCTGATAGCCTTTTTGACCACTGCTATGCACTGAGCTGAAGTTTTCAGAGAACTATGCATAATAACTCCAAAATCTCTTTCATTAATGGTAACAGCTAATTTAGAACCTCTCCTTTTATACGTATAGTTGTGATTGCTTTTTCCAACATGCATTACTTTGCACTTACTAACATTAGATTTCATCTGCCATTTTGTTACCCAGTCACCCAGCTCTGTGAAAACACAGTTTGGTCGACAAAAGTCGGCTTTTGTCAACAAAACAGTGGAGGAGTTTACACTGCAATGCTCCTCCTGATGATTTAACTGTACTGCAATGCCAACATAATAAAATCACCAGGATGCGAGGCATAGAGCTTTTTGCAACAAAGTTAGAGCGACGCAATGTCAGTGTCAACACTGTGTTATGTCACCATTCCTGGCCTTCAGGGTGTGTCCCACAATGCCTATCATGGCCATTCTGGTCACCAATTTGAACTCCGCTGCCCTGCAGCCAGGTATATATGCATGCGCCCCTCTCTCTTTAAAGGCCCAGGAATGTTTTTAATTCCTCTTCTTGTTTGTTCGGTCCAAACAGCTCACATAGCATCTTTCCAGATGACCATGCTGGCTCTCCCTCCTGGAGCACACCAGAGTTATTGAATCTGCTGAGTCTGTGAGGAGAGGCGGCTTTGCAGTTTCAGCTCTGCTCCAGTTGTAGGAACTTTGATACCTATGGGCAGATTGCTTGTGGCACGGAGAAGGGGCATGAAAGGGACATTCACCAGTGCCGTGCTAAGATCAAGGCGCTGAGGCAGGCATACCAGAAGGGAGGCCAATTGTCGGTCTGGTGCATTGCCATAGACATGCCGTTTCCTTACAAAGAGCTGCACACCATCCTCGGTGGCAACCCCACCTTCACCGCCAAGAGCCCCATGCATACTTAGGGGGGCTGGAGACAGCAGCCAGCAGATTGAACCCAAAGGATGAAGTGGAGTTGGAGGAGGAGATGGGACAGGCAAATGGGATGTCTATTGGGGTGGTGAGCCAAGACCTCTTTTTTAACTTTGGAGGGGTCTAGCCAGTCTCAGCACTCCAGCTCTGGTGTGCATGACACAAAAGAGGGAAGCTCCGGTAAGCATCCACTGTGCTTTGATACTGCAGGGAGACATGAGGTAGCCCTTTGTTTTGTTTTTTTCCCAGGGTAGTAGGGGGATAGAAATAACCAACACAAGCGCTGTTTGCATCTGCTTTTCATTCCCCTGTGCACTGTGGAAAAGTTTGTTGATGCACACTGGCACTCCCGGGAATCCTCCATAGAAATCTCTAGGAAACTTTTCTGGAGGTACTTTGCAATCCTCGGCTGAAGGTTCCTTGTTTCTTCCCCCACAGTAGGAAACTTGCTGCACCAATCATCAATTACCTGTGCAGGCATCAAAGCAGCACATAAGCAAGCAGCATACAAACCCGGTCTGCAGTTGCATGCATGCAGGAGCTGCATCCTTGGTTACCCACAAGAGTGAGGTCTCAGCTGCTATCAACCCTGACTGTATAAAGCAGTGCCAGTATTCATAATAGTGGCCCTAGGCTCTTGTATTGATACCCCTGTGAACCCCACCCTTTCTCCCATCTTGCCCCTTTCTCGCCACCCCAGGCCGAACTCATCATTAGGGCTCTTGCCGTGCTCTGTACTTGCTAAGGGAAAGTGAGAAAGTGGTGTATCTAGCTTGTATGAATCAAGGCTGTGAGTGCACTCACAATAGTGCCTCTGTCTATCATTTCTTTAGCTTCTGCAGATGTTCCCTTGAGGATCTCCTCCTGCACACTGGCTGAGCAGCTCTCTCTGATGAGACAAACTAGGAGGAGTAAGGAAAACATTCAGGGAGATGTTGCAATCATCTGAAGCTACTTATAGCGAGTAGAGAGCATGAAGAGAGACTGAAAAACTGAAAATGGATAGCCAGGAGAGGAAACGGGCAGGAGTGGATGATACACCTGCTGGAGGACCAAACAGACATGCTGAGGTCCCACCTGCAGTGCAGGCAGAACACATGTGCTCGCCTCCCCCTGCAGCCCATATAGAACTTCCTTCCATTCCCTTCCCAAACTCCACACACACATTCCTCACACGTTCCTAGGTCATCACAGTACCCCATGCATTCCACCCCTTGGGACATGTTTCACAATGACAACTGGACATACACCCAGCTGTGAGAGCTTCATTTCAAAAAGCGCTCTTCGGGATCACATCCCTTGTAGAAAATAGAAACATTTGTATAGCTGATGAATAAAAATGTACGTATAAAAAGAAAATGAATATTTATTTGCCTATAACACATGGTGGTTGCTGCTGAAATTAATACACAATGGCAATCAGTGTATTAGCAGAGTATAATTAATGCACACAAGGCAATCATTAAAAGGCTCACACTACAGTGAAAGAAAGCAATGCCTGGCTCAGTGCATTAAAGAAAAACACAGAATAGTGGGGCTCCTTCTCAAAATGCTCCTGCAAAGTCTCCCTGATTTGAACAGCCCCCGCATTGAACCCCTCTAACAGCCCTGGTACTTGGCTGCTCAAAAGCAGCTGCCAGCCGATTTACCTCAACGCTCCACCCCTGCAGAAACTTTTCCCCTTTAGCTTCACAAATGTTATGCAGAGCACAGCAGGCAGCAATGACCATGGGAATATTTTCCTCACTGAGGTCTAAACTGCCAAAAAGGCAGCGCCAGTAACCCTTTAATCTGCCAAAGGCACATTCAACGGCCATTCTGCACCTGCTGAGCATGTTGTTGAAGTGCTCCTTGCTGCAGTCAAGGTTTCCAGTGTAAGGCTTCATGAGCCATGGGAACAAGGGGTAGGCTGGGTCTCCCAGGATCACAATTGGCATTTCCACATCCCCAGTTGGAATCTTCTGGTCTGGAAAGAAAGTTCCTGCTTTCTGCTTTCTATATAGGCCAGCATTCCTGAAGATGCATGTGACATGCACCTTCCCTGATCCCCCACATTGATGTCAGTGAAATGACCTAGGTGGTCCACCAGCGCTTGCAATACCGTAGAAAAGTAGGCCTTTCTGTTAATGTACGCCTTCACAAGGTGGTCTGGGGCCAAAATGGGGATATGAGTGCCATCTATCACCCCACCACAGTTAGAGAATGCCATTGATGCAAAGCCATCCACTATTTCCCACACAATTCCCAGAATCACAGTCCTTCGTAACAGGAGACAATTAATGACCCTGCACACTTGCATGACTGCAACCCCCATGGTGGACTTTCCAACTCCAAATTGATTTGCGAAGCGATCACCACTCACTTCTCCACCGTGTGAGCAGCTCTAATTTTAGTGTTCATGTGCCAAAGGACAGGGGCAAGCTCCGCACACAGTTCCAAGAAGGCAGCTTTGTGCATCTGAAAGTTCTGCAGCCACTGCTTGTCACCCTATACCTGCATCACGATGCAATCCCACCATTTGTTGGCTGAGCCCAGTTCCCAAGCCCAGTACCGATGGTTCACCATGTGCAGCAGCTCCATGAATGCAAACAGCAATCTTGAATTGTTTCTTTCCATGGCACACAGCAGGGCAGACACCACGGTGTCATTATCTTATTCACAGTTCATGAAATACCACAGGATCAGCTGTGTTGTGTTCTTAATGCTCATCACAAGACTGGAAAGCAGTGTGAGACAGATGGCGGGCATGCAGTTTACACTGGTGGTTGAAAAGCAGCGCAAAACGTAGTCAGAAGCCCATGGAATGATGGGACAGAGAAAACTGCATCATGGGACAGTAAGCCCGCCCCCACAAGGCACTGTGATCCCTTGCCAGAGCACCCAGGGGCAAATGGTGACGAGTTGTACAGTGGGATAGGTACTCATGGTGCATTGCTCTCTCTGTCAACGCAAGAGCACCAACTGTGGACACACTCCACCATCACAAGGAGTATTGTGTGGATGTGCAAAAATAGTTTAATTACAGCAGTAGATGATTGTCGACGTAACTTAAGTTGACTTAACTATGTAGGGTAGACATAACCTAGCTCTTCAAACTTAACTACCTTGAATAACTTTGTATTATCTACAGACTTTGCCATTTCACTGTTCACTCCATTAATGACCTGGAAAAGGAATATGTTGAACAGCACAGGTCCCAGTGCAGATCCTTATTTCCCCTTCTCCATTCTGAAAACTAACCATTTATTCTTATCCTTTGTTTCTTATCTTTTAATCAGTTATTGATCCGCACAAGGACCTCTCCTGTTACCCCATGGCTACTTAGCTTCCTTAAGAGCCTTTGGTAAAGGACCCTGCCAAAGGCCTTCTGGAAATCCAAGTACACTATATCCACCAGATCACCCAGGTCCACATTTTTTAACCCCTCAAAGAATTCAAACAGATTGGTGATGTTTGACTTCCCTTTACAAAAGCCAAAAACTTTGATGTGGGTATTTCTCCCACCTCCTCTGCAGCAAACACTGTGGCACAGAATTTATTTAGCTTCTCTGCAATGACCTTGTCTTCCTTGAGTATTCCCTTAACATCTTGGTCTTATAGTGGCTCCACTGCCTGTTTAACAGGCTTCCGGCTTCTGATGTACTTTAAAAAATTCTTACTGTTAGTGTGCGCATCTTTAGCAAGTTGCTTCTCAAATTCTTTCTTAGCCTGCCTTATGAGGGAACAATAAAGGGAACAAATCATTTAGGTCAAGATTCTGCAAATTTTTCAGGGCAGGAAGACTCCTCTTTAAGTCAATGAGGGCAAAAAGTCACAGAAGAACTTGAAAAATTAAAAGTCTAATTTGATCTGCTTAAGGAAGGGAGGATGTAATCAATGAGGCAACAAAAGTAGGAGTCAGTACAGCACATAATCAGTAGCGAGAATCCCCCAAAGCCATGCATCATGGATCCACCCACTGACTGCAGGAGTCATTAGACAAGGGCAATTCACCAAAATACCAATGTAAATTAGAAACTCCTCATTGTCAGGACTTACTTTTGGCTGGGGAGGTTACTGACTGTGTTGGGCTTGGCTATCATTGCCGTTACATCATTTCAGCAGAGTACAAAGCAAGTTAACATGATCCACACCACTTTCAGGAAACTTCGCCAGGAATGGGAATAAGAGTAGGGTTACCATATTTCAAGTTCCCAAAAAGCAGACAGTGCAGGGGGCAGGGGCAATGGGAAGGAAGGGAAGCTGAAGGGGGCGTACCTGCAGCAGCGGTACTCACGGGAGGTGTGGGGGGGGGGGCAGTGTCACTCCCTGTCACAGTGGCAGGGCAGCTGGCACAAGCCCAGGACACAGCAACAGTAGTCAGTCAGCACCTCCCAGGGCTGAGTGGGGGCAAGGGGGCATGGGTAGGCAGGATTCAGCAGCTGTGACTTGCAGGGGAAAGGATCACTCAACTGCAGATGCAGGGGAATGGCCCAATCAGCAGTGGATACAGGGCTGGGACCAATTGGGAAGCTGATCAACGGGGGCTCTTTCTGAACTGCAGCTTCTCTACTCTGCAAAAACCGGAACATTTGCTGTTATCTGAAAACCCCGCTGGGACAGGGAAAGCAGGCTCAAAAAACAGACTTTGTCTGGGGAAAACAGGACATATGGTAACCCTAAATAAGAGCAGCAGAAATTAAACTCCACTTCCTTGGTTCTCGTAAGAGAAACCTGTCAAGAAAAATAATGGCTAGAGGTTAGAAAGGCAAATCTTCTATAATAAAGTTAAAAAAGAAAGCCAAAAAAGAAAGCCATTTTAAAGGTAGTGACTTCAAAATAAAAGAATAATGGATTGTGAGAGTAAGGTGGAGATAGAAGCATCTAGCGCCTACGAACAGTCCCACAGAGCAAGTGGGGTTTTAAAAGTAACTAGAGGACATACTGTGGGTTCATATTTATCACTGCACCATTACAGAGAACACAGGACATATGGAGGTACCACTCCCCCCCGAATGAGAAGCGATCCTAGGGCATTGCAGATAACATGAGCAATTAGTCATTTGGGGGATGCAATGATATAATACAAAGAAAGGAATACAAATGACTGTAAAGGTGGACCTCAGTGCAGTGAAAGGGGTGCAATGCAGCATAACAAAACCGGGGTCAAAACGCATGACAGGGTGCAGTAGTAGTCTGCAGTGGAGAGAGTGCTCCCTGTACCACAGGTGGTTTGCAATGCAAGACGGCTACGGCAAAGGGTGGTTAGTCTCTAAGGTGCCACAAGTACTCCTTTTCTTTTTGCGAATACAGACTAACACGGCTGTTCCTCTGGAAAGTGTAGAAGGGGTGCACGGTAGTGCAGGAAGGTACAATATGAGGGGAAGCAGCGGGAGTTTGCAGAGCAGAAGGGGTTCAATACAGCACACTGCAGCACCGGTGTAATGCAAGAGGGGATGCAGCGCAGGGAAATCCCATGCAAGGGGGGGGGTGTAGGACACTGCAGCACAGGGGGATGCAGAGCCGGGAAATCCCATGCGGGGGGTTGGGGGGTGCAGTGCCGTGTAGCGCAGTGGACTGCCATACAAGAGGGAGGCGCCGCGCCGCGCAGCACAGCCCGGGGGGACGAGGCAATACATGGGCACGACCCCCGCGGAGCATTAAGGACAGGACTCACCCCCTGACGCTCTGCGACACAAGCCCGTGACACCCGCGCGCGCTACCCAGACACTGCGCGAGCCCGCGCGGCGCCCGCCCGCCCCCGCCTCAATCCCGGCGGCGACCAGTGGAGAGGCCGCGATCCATTGATCCCCGAGAGCGCGTGCGCCCCCCCAATCGGCCTACCAGAGAGCTGCCGCGTGCCGCGTGACGCAGCCGAGCCAGTCACTCACTACAATTAATAAATTCCTCTTCCCGCGGGCCTGTCCTCCGGCAGCCAAAACCCCGCCCCCGCAGGAAACGGACCCCGCCCGAAGGCAGCAGGGAGGGGGCGGGCGGGCCGGCCGGCCGCGCGGCGCGCAGCGGAACGGGTCTGGTGGCGGTGGCGGTTTCCTGGGGAGCCTCGTTGGGACGCGGAGCGCGAGCACGAGCACGTACTCCTCGCGCAGGCTCTAACGGCGCCGGGCTCTGACCCCCCACCCCACCCCACCCCCCTCTCGCGGTACCGGGGCGGGCGATGGGGCCCGGGCTCCTGCTGCGCGGGGCCGCCGCCCTGTGCGCCCGGGGGCTCCGCGCCGCAGCGGCCGGGAGGCTCTGCCCGCTGCTGCCCCGGCCGCCCGCCCGGCTCCTCCGCACTGGGGGCTGCCGCTGCCTCCGCGCCGCGCTGGGGCCCCCGGGCCAGGGGAAGCCGCCCCGGAGCGTGGGGCGCGGGCGGGGGGCGGCGCACAGCGAGGAGGAGGAGGAGGAGGAGGATGGTGAGCAGGAGGATGGTGAGGAAGAGGAGCTGGAGGAGCTGCTGGCCCCAGGGCCGCCTCCCGGGGCCCAGCGGCTGCTCGTGGTGCACCCGGCCGTCAAGTGGGGAGCGAAAAAGCCCCAACTCACCACAGGTGAGGTGCGGGGGACTCTCCTCCCACGGGCCCCGGTGCTCAGGGCACCAGCCTCGGCCCCCGAATCCTCTGGGTCTTTCTTTTCCCTGCAGCGGCGTGTTCCGGGCGGGGCAGTGGCTTGTCTGCCTCAGGGTGAAATCCGAGTGGAGGGAAGACACAGGCAGATTTTTTTTTTTTTTACCTTGACGTAGCCGCTGGCTGACATGGGACCCTGCTCCCCCGACATGGGATGTACCTTGCGTCGTTTCCTCCAGGTGAAAACTGCCTGTGCCTGGCCTTTGTGAGGATTTGACGTCGAGGTAGCTATCCTGAAATACAAAGCACGTCTCTTTTTGCAGGGGAGACAGAGGGGAGCCTTTCCCAAGCTAACTACTCAGACACTGACACCTGACCGATTGTAGCACGGTAGACTTACTGACTTAGCCTCTGTGTAATCGAAAATGCGCCTGTCCACCTCCTATCCTGTCAGTTGTTGCCCTTTTCGCTCTTAAAGCTTCTTCAGGATCTTTATGGATTAAATAAATCTTCAAGTATGTTAAGTGTCGTTACAAAGAGAACAATGAGCAATTGTTCTTTGTCTCTACTGGCGGTTGGACAAGAAGTAATGGCCTAAATCTGCACCATGGCAGATTTAGGTTAGATTAGGAAAATCTAACTATGGGGGTAGTTAAGCTCTGGCATGGGCTTTTCACGTGAGACTGTGGAACCTCCATCACTGGAGGTTTTTAAGAACAGGTTGGACAAACACTTGTCAGAAATGATCTAGGTTTACTTAGGCTTGCCTCGAGGTAAGGGGCTAGACTTGATGACCTCTCAAGGTCCCTTCTAGCCTTACATTCTAAATATAAACTTTACATTGGGAGGCAAGCAGGAATGGTTGGCAAACAACCAGAGAACAATTTTATCTCTTTAAGAAGTTTGCTATGTATTTTTTTCACATTATCAAGATACAAAGTCTAATTGGCCAACAGTTCTAGATCAGCATATGTTCCCCCTTTAAATAATGAATGCCACATTGACACTGTTTTGTTGCAAACTTAGATCTTGATTCTACAAACACTTATGGACATGATCAACTTTTTTCAGGGCTTGTCTTCACTTCAGTGTTAGCTCTAGTTATCTACACTCAAGTTGACTGAGATAACCACTCCAACTCATGCTAGGCTATGCTGCAATCTGCTCAAGCATCGGCATCGCTTGAGCTTCAAGACAAACGCTCTGACAGGCCAGTTAGTTAAAGTCTAAAGCACCACTTAACTCATGCTACAGATTTTTGTGTGTGCATGGGAGTCAAGTTAGGGGCAACATTCAAATTATACCTCAAGCTAACAAGGCAATGAAGATAAGCCCCTCAATGAAGTCTCATGGGACTGTTAATGTGTTTAAAGTTAAGCAAATGCATGTTTCCAGGATGGGGGCCTTAGTAAGGAATACTGAGTTGTCTCTGGTTTCATTTCTCCACCACTGCAGCTAGTTATAGACATGTCAGTCTCTCTGGGATGGTAAGGAGTTTTGCCTTGGGTGACACCACTACAAATGCTCCTGTCCTGCAGAAATCTGTAACGGAAAGCACTGGAGATCACATAGTTTAGGGTATTTTACATTTGCATTTGATTCCTTGTCCTCTTCTTTACCAGTCTTATTAGTGGGAATCTTTCTAATATGGTCCGTAACAGCTGTTCGTGATTTTCAGATATCATCCCTTCACTGCCACTTTAGTAGACTTGTGCTTCAACCAATGCAGCCAATTTGATGAGGCAACTGTTTTGTCCAGTATAACTTTAAGGCACAAATTATGAGACTTCCACCACTTTCTTTGGGAGACTGTTCTTCAGCCTAATTTTAATTTATCTCATTCATAGGAAGTTTATCTAAATTTCATTCTAGTTTGTCAGTGTTGCTGGCCACAGCCTGTGTTGAAAACTGTTTTAGGAAGTGCTGTTTTCAGAACTACTACGTGTACTACAACACATGAAACAAACTGGGTCAGTGGTTCTCAACCATTTCTGTACTATTTTCTCGTGTTATAAACAAAAAAAAAATTTTGCACTCTCCTCCTGTCTAGCCAGAAAGGCAAAGAGGATGGTTGTGAACCGATTGAAATCTATTTATGACCCCCAAGTGGAGAACCTGTTCACTAGGTGAATGTTTCAAATTTATTCCCAGCTATCTCAAAGAAAAACTCACTTAACCAATCTGGCAAATTTTGGCAAAAGAGAAGACTTTTTTTTAAGTAGGAAGAAACTTTTTCAGCAAATAGAATTTAAAATATCGAATACACTGTTTTCCATTTAGAGTGAATGGATGATAAATTTTCTTTCTCCAACAATTTTCCTAGGTCCAGTTCTGCAATTTGATTTGCCTGGGTAACCTTTATACCTGCATGGGGTCCCTTTAAACTCAGTGAGGCTCTGTACAAGTTCAAGAGACTACCCAGGTTACTCAGAATGCAAGACTGGGGCCCTGCTCTGCTGTGTTTCTAGTAAAGCAGGAGTCAGTATTGCTGCCTATTGCTATTCTGTCTATGAACCAGCATCACTGATGATGTCAGGAACAATGTGCACAACTCTAGAAGTTCTTTAAATATTTCTACAAAACAGTAAGGAGTTATTAACACATTGTTTTGCTGTCACAGTTTTCCCATCATCTTTCTGTAAGTAGGCTTAAACAAAAATTTTGATAGTAACCCTTTTAGGACTGAAGTACAATGTTGATGCAAATAACTATGTAATTTCCTTGTTAATTTGTGCAGATTTTTTGCCAATATAGTTAATACCAGTTCCTCAAATGAAAATGACTTTTTTGCTGATGTAACTACATCTAACCTAGGGCTTTTGCTGTCCTATCTATGTTGGTGAGGGCTATAATTTTTTCACATTCCTAACCAACAGAGCTATGGTGGCAAAACTTTTTTAAGTGTAGACCAGGCCTCACTGTTTATGTTCTTATTGCAAATGTTGGAAATATGTGTGCAGAGTTAGGACTGTATACTATAATCTTTTTTCTTTTTCCAATGCTAAAGCTGAATTACAGATCGCTGAAGCTGTTGCTCTAATAAACACCCTTCATAATTGGACGGTTTTAGATAAAATAATTATGTCTACAAAAACTCCTGACAAGAAGTTTATTTTTGGCAAAGGAAATTTTCAGATTCTGACAGGTAAGAAGAAAACAAAAGATACAGTATATCATACTAAGTGAAAGATTTTTACCCTTCTTAAGCTAATTAATGATTATTGCAGACACAGGGGAGAGTTAAGGTTTTGTCTACTTCATGGCCAGGTTTACAAACAAACTCCAGAGATGTTAATTAAAAACATGCAAGATGGAAATAACCAATACTTGCTGTAAGGACTTGTTTTCACTGCAACAGTTAACATGAGTTAATACACTTGAGTTACTCTGCTCGACCTAGTCTACATTTGCACTACAGAATGATTGGGTGAGATATAACTCCAGCTGTTGAATCCCCACAGCATTGCTAGCTTGAGCATCAGTAGCACTCGATTTCCAACCCACCGCCTGCCAGTCGGGCTAGCTCAAGCCTAAAGCACTTAAGTTGAGCTAGAGATTTTTGTGTGTGGATGGAAGTTGGGTATGGGTCAAAACTCAAGTTTTAACTTGAGCTAACACTGCAGTGAAGACAAGCCCTAAATGTGTGATATATAGTATGATTCTAAATACCTTAGGTAAAGGTATGCAATATACAGGGTGATTCTGAATAAAATTAAGTGACTGACTTAAGTAAAGGTGACAGCTGCCTTTGACCCAGGTCAGTAGTGATCAAAACCTGATGACTAGTCAATAGCCTATGTGAAGTGAGTTCATATTCTTAGGCCCAGATCCACAAAGGGATTGAGGGATTGGAATGCCTAACTTTTAGGGGCCCAGCTGCTCAACAGAATCCACAAACCCTCGGCTTTCTGTGCAATGCATGGGGAGAGAGAAGCACCTAAGAATGGGATCCACAAAAGTCTAGGTGGGCAGCTGCTTAAACTAGCCATAGCAGATGCCAACAAGAGGAATGCGTCCTAAACCCTGCCCCTCAGGGAGTTAGGCACCTCAATCTAGGCTGGAGGAGGAGACACACATAAGCACTGACTTCCTCTCTGTCTGGGGGAGTGCTTGACCTCTGCCCAAGCCTGCCACCACTCCATCCCTTCCTCTAAGCCCCCACCACAGACCCCGCCCCCACTCCACTCCTTCCCCCAAGGTCCCACCCCCACCTCTTCCTGGCCCTGAGAACATCCTGTCCCCACTCCTCCCCCTCCCTCCCAGCGCCTCCTGTACAATGGGTTCTAAGCACATGCTATTTTTTTCCGTGGGTGCTCCAGGGCTGGAGCACCCAAGGAATTGGCACCTATGGAGACACGTATCTCTGCTTGGGATCCACAGCCATGAACCCTCTCTTGGAGTCAGTCACCTAAGCTGTTTCTTGCAAGAATGGTGGCTGTACATGCCTAATGCCACACAAAATTGCTAGTGCAAGTGGATCTCCCTTATAACCTTTAGCACAGTGAGTAGAGCACTTACCTGGGATGTGGGAGTCCCCAGTTCAGTTCCCACCCCCACCTGATGAAGTTAAGGGCTGTGAACATGGGTTTCACACCTCTCGTGAATGCCCTAACCACTGGACTATAGATTCATTCTCATGCTCTCTGGACCAATGCATATTTAAGTAGTTCTACATAATTGACTTGCTCATTAGGAGAGATTGAGAGAGACCAATGTTAGACTATCCCGTAGCCCAGTGGTTAGGTGGGAGACATCTGTTCAGGAAGAGAGAGGACTTGAACCAGGGTCTCCCATATCCTGGGTGAGTACCCTTTAGTCCGCTGGCTAAAGCATCAGGGAGAGCCTGCCCCAGCCATTTTGTGTGAACAAGGTAGGAGGGGGAACACCTATCTTCATCTGGTTGGAGGAGTGCACTGGGGCTTAAGCGTGTAAAGGTGTCCAGGCACTGCCTAAGGCAGCAATGTGCATGCCTAGAGGCAGAAATTTAGGCACATAGGGGACTTCCACAGCAAAAATGTAGGCAGCGAGGGAGTTTGGGCCCCTAGATGACAGCTGAACAGTGATTCTGAGGATTTCATATCCACATAAATTGTACACTTAGGCACCTAAATCCTTTTGTGGATCTGGGCCCTAATACTCTTCCTAGTCTCCGTGTGTCAGGAAGAAGCATCCTAGCATGTTTGTTGGCAGTCTCAGCAGCCCATAATCCATAGACTGAATGGGCCTGGAAGCAGAACTTTATCCTCTCATCCTTTTTGGTAGTCCTTTTAGAATACACTTGGAACACATAGTCACACAATGTGAAAGCATGTACTGCTGTGCCTGTTCTGTAAACAAAGAGTGTACCTTCGTGTGCTATCAGTCTGTTATTTCATGAACACTGCATTCACTTTTTAACACATAATTAAAATAGCCTTTTTGCTCTAGATTGGCATTAACCATTACAAAATTACACAATGCAATCCTCTTTATTTAGAAAAGATTAAAGGATTACCACACATAACGGCTGTCTTCTTGAATATAGAAAGGCTCTCTCCACTGACAAAGGTAATTTAAAAAACAATATTTAAGTGTATTTTTTTTATGTTCTACATTAGTGGTGGGCAATCCCATCAGGGTAATCCAGCCACTGAGAGCTGCAGGCGACCCACCAGCAGATTACCCTGTTGAGCCACATGCAGGCCACAGGTTGCCCACCACGCTTCTACATCCAAAGGCTGTGTTTGGAATGTACTGATGCTCTGAAAAGTTAAGGCCAACTTTTGACTCAAAAGCTGCAC